AATAATGAATTAGTGTGGTTAGTTAGATCATTTTATTTACTTAGTAATCTCAGCACTTTAACACTCTTATCATCACATGGGACATAATTTGCAAGCTAATGACTTAAAAGACAAAGTGCGGATAAAACCAAAGAGAGACAAGCAAAAAAATAGGTTAAGGTAAAATAAAGACTCATTTCCCTTTTTAGTTTTTAGCTTCCTAAAAATAAACAAACTACAATTTTTCAAAAAAAAAGACTTAGTTCAACTCTGAGTTTGGATCGCTATGGCTCGTGAAGGACCCCACTAATAGGTTTGCAAGAGGACGAAATGATCAATTAAAGAGGAGATATGGGCATGGTCGGCTCAAGGTGCAAATGCTAGGGTCGTTTTGATAAGAGCCTAAATTTTTGAAAAAAAGTTTTAGTATTGATTAAGAAAACGTGGGGTTGGACTAGTGATCGGATCCAAGTAAGCCGAAAATATAGACAGTAAGGGAGACACGAGTTCGATTCCATTTTGGAGGGATATAATTTATTTAAGAAAAAATTCCCAGATTAACAAAAAAATTTCTAATAAAGTTCAATAACTATTAATCCCAACTTAAAACGAAAATTGGGGGCATTTTCTTTGCATAAAGCCTCTAATACATTTGAGCCAATCCTGGGACAAAGAAGTACTAACAACTAAGTAGGGCTGCTATAAAGAAGATGGGGGCCGACCAAATGTGTTCTTCTTTTTTTAATGTGTTCAAGTTCTATCTCTTTCTTAATTACTATAAGAGAGAGATATGGAAGGACCCAACAATGCTGGACCTATAAAGGACAACCATTAGACATGGGTTTTTGTCGCAAATAGTAGCTCCAATTAAAATCCTCTTATTGATCCACTATAACCAGTTCATGCTTTTTATGTCCTGTCTCTGGCATTATTAGATGGAGGAGGAACGAGAGATTGATCTCTTACCTAATCACACTAGAAACTGGGGGGGCATAGATGATCTCAAATAGATCTGTTTTCTTTCTCTTGATTTACTTAGAAAAGGACATTACTCCATCCCCAATTAATTAATGACGCTGATAGCATATGTCTCACTGTTTAAGATTGGCAATTTGGTTTTGGGTCTATGCCATGAACAGATATTAAAAGAAAAAAAAATGGAAACAAGAAAAGCATGAAAAGAAATCTCTAGTTACGACGATCATGTAAAAAAGTCTTTAGTTTGACCAAAAAAAAAAGGTTCCAAAGATCATGTAATATATGCCACAACTTCTCAGGCAGACCCATTATATATCAACCAATCTCCTACCTTTACCTATCTATATCTTTACCTATTTATTGAAGACCTGTGAAAAAACGGTTTACTTGCCAGTAAAAACATTTCTAGTGACTAACACATTGGATATGACTCGATCCGTTATAACCAAACGATCTTTAACCACTGGACCACAAATAATTTTTAGTATAAACAGAATTCGATCGAATTGTAAATAATGACGCTAAAGATGCTAAAAGTTCTGTAGATTTGAAAACAGAGAGGAGCAACACATGTGCAGTTCCACAACTCAATCATGCAACTCTTAAACTGTTACTTGATGACAAGAAGGAAAGCTTATTTTGTTTATTGACAGATACGAGTGTACTATCATTATGGTTTAGTAGACGACTTAGGAAATTCAAGTCTCTCATCATAGGATTTCCACTCATTCTTCAAATTTCTGATTTGATATCTGTGACAACCTAATTAAGAACATACTATATATCATGTGCTTGAAGTTATTATAAGGAGAAGAAGACAAAGTTAGGATGGTGGGTTTAGCGTAAAATTGCAAAAACAAACCTAGAACATAATGTTTAATATAAAAAAGTTTCAAAAGTGTGAGTTGTGAATTAAATTGTAACATATTTTAATGAATTAAATAATAATCCAACTTATTTAAATAAATTGAAACTCTAGAAACTAATTGACGACATTAAAACGTAAGAAAAAAATGTAGTTGTTTTATGATCACTTGATTTAAAATTTTATTTTGCATGTTTAGAGAAAATACTCTCAGATGCGCAAATTTCGTTTCTACACAACATGTTGCAGCTATATTGTTCGAAAATATTTCATTACGGAAGTTCTCAATTCTAAATTCGTTAAATCCCCTGTAAACTCTACATAAAAATAGTTCGTTTGAGATGACGAAACAGTAACGAAGACATATTATGCATGTGATGAACAATTGAACATGATTGAAATTTCCTTTTCTATGGTTGGAACTACAAACAAAATTTGAAGGCAATGGCAAATGCCATATGATATTGTTTTCAGGTTATGGGTGTTTTTTTTTTTAATCATAAAATATGAAACAAAGTCATCAGACCAAGTGATAAGACGATTTTGTTTTGGTTTCTATCTAGGATTTAATGATGTTAACCTCTAGGGTTTTTTCTTCTTAGATTTTATTTCCTTCATTAAAATATGTTGAGTACACCTCAAAATTAATTTGTTATACTTCTTTTTAGTTATATAAGGTGATTTTTTTCATACAAGTTTCTCATTGGTGTGTAAGTTTGAAAGGTGTGTGTGAGTGAGTGGGTGCAGCACAAAGGCTGGAACAGTAATTAAAATAATTAATGCGTAAGGAAATCAAGAAAAATAATGGAACCTTGAAATAGAATTTCTAGGTTGTTCTCTCTTCTTTTTCACTTTCTATATTCGCGGAAGAAAAAGACAATGGAAATGAAATGTGTGTGGGGTTATAATGGATGTCTTACTTGTACCATATGGAGTGGTCTCTAGAATGCTATTGGGAGATGGTTTCTATCATGGAAACTGGTCAGTCAAAAGATCCAAAGAAAGCTCGTCCGTACTTGATGCACCTCAATATTCACTTGGTCTCGTACGAGGAAAATACACCAATCAGTATTTAAAAAGACAAACTAATAAAACAAGTTAAGTTCTGTGGTGGTCTCCAACAACAAGCAGTAGAAAACAATAAGGTATGTGGTACATTAGCAAAGGATACGTAAAGAGAAAAGCGTACGTATGACTCTATGATTGCAACAACCATTCGTTTCTTGGCATAGTTCAGCTTTTCTATCAACTATTTTTAGTCTACTAGGAGTAGTTTCATGTGAAGTCCTAAACTGGTTCGAACCAATTTAGGATAGCTCACCAGCATCAAGTAGCAATACTTCATGAGATCCAGAAAAGAATCACAACCCACAAGGAAGTTACTAAATATGTGATCTAGGTCTCTTATGCATTTGTGGCCTTGTGGGTATAAAATTGAGAAAATGAGATTCATATGAGTATCCAATCACCTACTTCTCAAAATCAAAGCTAGAGAGTAACGCCGACTACTCGAAGAAGTGAGTATTTTCCTTGCATGAGTTTCATGCAACTCCATTATAATAATGTGATGAGAGATAAATAGTAACATCGATGTCTTCTTCATACATATAATCCTAATTAATTACAAGGGAATATTATAGTAGTAATGATAGGAGAAATCATAGGGATTGATAATCGCACGTTATGGAGGCCAAATTCCACAAGATCGATCGTTCCTTGGAGAGACTATTAACAGCACGTTAATTTTCTAATTGGAAAAGTAAAAAAAAAGGTTAGTTCATTCAAACAAATTCATATGAGCTTGTAAAAGATATGAATAGAATTGGCCCTTTATCATTCAAAGCGCATAAAGGGGAAATAATCCGACGAATGAGAAGATAGAAGACTCTGATTAGTACGGACGACGGGACGAGACGTAGATGCCTCTTCAACATATTCAAACAATAATAATTTCTATAAACTGTTTGCGTCAGTTAGGCCACAAGCGAGGCCCAATTAATGTTATAAGAATACATTCTGTCTTTTTCACAATGTTTCAAAAATTTCCATGGTTCATAAACTTCAAATACATTTTTAGGTTACACTAAACCGACTAAAGGTATAACCAAGTTTAAGTAAATTAAGTCCGGATAAAGGTGTAACCAACATGAATATTAATTGATTTATAAATTCATATGGGATTTAGAATCTTCACCGATTTTAAAATCAGGAATGTTAACAAAACGAGTTTACAAGCTGTAGAGGAATGTTGTAATCTCTAAGATAGACTTAGCATATGCGTCTTCCTCTGTTTCAGAAATCGACCAAAACGTTCATAATGAGGGTTTCAATTCCTCCTGGGCTTGTGGATTTACTAAGCCTACCAAATCACAGCAACCCACAGCCCATTAAAAGTCCAGACCATTTTTTTCAATTTTCTGCTATACGCATCTTCTCTTTGGCCACTGTGAAATTCATATGGTGGCTACAAATCATGTGAAGTCTGAGATATAACCTGAGATTCCTCCATATTAAAAAAAAAATGCATGTTAAATACGTAAACAGAAAACTGGAGCCAATTGAACTAAAAAATTGGTTGAAATTTGAAACTGAGCAAATAATAGTGAGACAAGACAAGTCCTAGACTCCTAGTAAATGCAAAGACATGGAAGCTCTGAATTAAACATGTGGCCAAGCTGTAACTACCTATGGAACATAAGGCTACTAACTCACGATTCATGAGAATATTCTTCTAGTAATTGTAATCCCCAAAAGAAAACTAGACAACCTTAAGTTCTCTCTTAATTTGTAAAGTTCAAAAACTTGAAAACCCCAAAAGAAAATAAAGAGTAGCAAGAGAAACATCAAGTGTGGATGGAATCATACTGTAATACTCAAGCTGTCTGTTTTCAATGAAAATGCGTGGGTAAATATCATCATCTCACCATGCATTTATTTACTTGTTGTACAGTTTATTTTTAAAATTATTACTGTCACGTTTTTAAATTATTTCTGTCACCACCCTCTGCTCGATTATCAATGCAATATAGAGATAAAGTTGCAGGGCAGCTTCCGATATCTCTCTCGGGTCAGGAACCAGAAACATAAGATTTAAAGAAAGATATTTGCTAGTGCAAACTGAATAAAGGAACTTCTTCTTTCTCCTTTTATCAGTCTATTTTTTACTTTCCACTAGTCAATATTATACGTTAGAGGTGATAACCAACAAAAAAGACAGGCTTTGTCTTAACAGAAATGGGAAGCGAATGGTACAATGGAGGAAGATCCACTTGTTCCTCTAAACGCAAGAAAAAATCCAATGAAACTAATGGCTGCGTCACTGCACTTTACCACTTTTTTCATTTCCACCATTTTTACTTTCCTTCACGTCATCATCACCACCAACCTAGTGTTGATTCTCACTCAAGAAATCCAAAAGGTACGTGCTTGCTCTCTCTGTCTCTCTCTATAGATAAAGGACTTGGGAGTTTTTTCAAGACAGTGAGTAACAGAGGAATGTTATGTTACTGAAACTTGTAGGCTTGGTAGCGCCACGAAACAGCTTGGACTTAACAGAGGAGTCTCCATTATCAACCAACTACAAGCTGGAAAACGAAAGCTTAAACATCCATGTAAGTCAAGTTAGTCAACATTATTGGCTTCTTTACATTTGACGTGACTTGATTGATGAACCAAGTGAGAATTCAAATGCAGGTGGGCAGGAAAAATTCAACACTTAGAGCTCTTCTCGTTGATACATCCTCTAACAACTGCAACTCACCTCGCACCAAGACACCAAACGTTGTGGCTAGACTCATGGGTCTTGATCTTCTTCCTGATAACTTGGACCTTAACAGATCACCAAGGAATGGAGTAAGAAGGCATAAACTCTCCGGGACTGGCTCAGGGACACGATCACTACCTGCAAGCCCTAGGATCTCCTCTGATTCCGAAAATCGCCGCCTCTCCCTTCAGCTAAACAGAGAGAATAAGCATGAAGAGTTTGCACGTAGGAGGCTGAAAGAGTTGAAACAAGATGAGCAAAGTCCACGTCCAACACATAATGGGAGGCAAATAAAAGAGAGGGTCACCACCACAAAATTTGGTATGGATATAACAAACTTGCTTGTGAACAAAAGGGCAGGAGCAGCAGCACAAAATAGGATTGAGCATAGCAGGTTTTCACAGAAAGAGAACACAACACGCACTAATCCCACAATCGTTTCAAGACAAGATCACATCTCTCAGCAACCAAAAAAGGTGACTCTTTCAAAAGATTTCAAGGATAACCTGAAGCGAGCAAACGAACAGTCAGTAAGACCTATCACTGGATGGAAGAAAACAGAGAGTGAAGCAAAAGTCTCTCCTCATCCAACACCCAATAATCGAAACAAGCAGAGAAAGGCCTTCATCTCTATATCAACACCCTCAAAATCTAGTGATTGCTGTGATATTATAAAGAGGAAGCAATGCAAGAAAATATCTGTAGCATCATCAGGTTTCTCTGCCACAGAACGTCCTCGGAAACAGGTAACACTTTTCTTTGTTTTAGTCTCATTGAGGAAATAACACAAACACTTGATAGGCACTCTTACTTAGTGAGTTTTCAATCAAATTCTTTAGATAAAAAGAGCTGAAGAACCGGAGCGGAAGGCAGATGCGACGATATGCTCTGGTCAAATGTACAAGTACGAGAAGAAGCTTCCTCAAGAACCGCCAAGTTCCAATTTTTACGATTCGACCACCATTACTGCTACCTTAGCCAACGTAAGAGACACCAAAAAATATACTTCGGGGACGAAGAAACTTGAAGAGGAACAGGAATGGGTCGTCGCAGAGATTGAGCGGCATATCGTAGACGCCCTCGTGGAGGAAATGGTGGAAACGACGTCGTTTATGGGTCTAAACGCAAACGCTGTTAGATTTGTGAGGCATTGAGGAATGCGGACTTTGGTTATATTAAAACAGCTTCTGCGTTTTAAGCCTAACGAATAACGAGAGATTCGACGCATAACAATGTGCGTTTTGCATGATTGCATCTCGCTGTTACTAATTTGGCTGTAACCAATTCATAATTCGAATTTCTAAAACTAGTACATGTTCCAGACTTTTTTTTTAACTATTTAGCGGTCAAAAATATTAAATGTATGGAGTTAATAGCCCAATGGTACATTCGTACGTAATCTTAGCTTGTGGAGTATGGTATCAATGATGTTACAAAGTTTGACTATAACATTTTAAAAAAAAAAAAACTCAAACATCCCACCAAAGTTTTTTTTTTTTTTTTTTGTTGGTTCTCAGAAGAAGAAATATAGCAAGAACTATACACTACTTTATTCTTGAATTATGCATAGAGAGAATCGATTAAAACATTCTCAAGTAGTAATATAATATCCATTAATGCATACTTGGATAAATCATCGCACTCAGCTTTCAGGCAATCCGATGTACAAATCACTTTCGACATCAGAGACCTTCATGTTTCCACAACCACAAGAAGCTGCACTCTTCTCACTCTCTAGGCTTCTCGGCTGCATCATCAAGGGTTTTTATTCAAACTAGAGACAGATGAACAAATCATATCTTTTTTTTTCAAATCATATCTTTTAGGTAAATTTCTTTATCTTTTACTTAAGAGACTAAATGTTAATTGTAGTTTTTGTTCATGAAATACAAAGCCTAGTCAATACACCTGTTATCTAAATGTAGCAGTTAGACATAGAGAGTAAGCTACATGTTTATTATAGGAAATAGATCCCAAATCCGACAATAGATTAATTCATCCGACTTATAGTGGTTCATTCTCAACATGAGGGTTAAATTCACTCTTTGCCACTACGGATTTCACTAGCTATAATCCAATTTGGAGGTCCTACAAACTTTTTTTTTTCACTACTCTTTCTTGTTTTTTCGTTTTTTTCTAACTCTTTCTCTCTCTCTAACTGAAAGACCGACTACAAAATATGTATATAAGGGAGAAACGCTATAATAATACATATATAAGTCTAAATGAATCAGCAATGGACAAGTACCACATCATCAAACCCGAATAATCACATGTATGTACGCATAGCATTATATGCACATTGTTGTTCAATTATAATGATCAGATAGAAACGTTACAAGAGTTATCAAACTAGATATTATGAAGATTTGTGAAGAGAACTAAATGATCTGAATTATAGTTTAAAGTTTTATGGAGGAGGACATACTACGAAATATTCTTTGGGCTGTCCAAAGTTTGAGAAATCTTCATCTTATGGAAGTGGACGTAGCTTCAGATTGTAAGGCTGCCAAGCAAATCCAATTCATTTGCAAAAGATGTTTTTGCCAAAAACGTCATTTTCACTCTTACGTGGTCCAGCTTGGCTGCACAATAGATTCCATGCTGAGGCCACCGTTGGTTTTTAGTTGTCATGTTTGGCTCTGTTCTCAGTTTGCCTTGTCTGGCTCTGTTTTTGAATTTCGGTACTCTGCTCTTAGTCTCTTTGGCTTTATCCGCTTTTTACCCAGATGACAAAAGAAAGTTTTTAACAAGAACAAATCCAAAAAAGTAGTTGTCCAATGGAAATGTATCGGTCTTTGTTTATACCAAACATATAAAAACAATTCAGTAAAAAAGAAGTGTTCAAGTTATTCATTCAAAAACCAAAACGTACAAGAAAAAAAAAGGGAGATATATATGTAACCATAATGTACAGAAACCGACATGTCTTGAACTTGTTATGACTTATTCAGGGAGGTTAATGTGAAGTTTGATGAGGAGACCCGGGAAGACATCATCCGGGTCATGGATATGCGGGTTACGCTCCACGATAAACGGGTCGCCGCATTTTTCGCTGATGCTGTGAAGCGTATCTCCTTCCCCTACTACGTATAACTCCTCACATGGCCTCTCCATCATTTGCTTCCCTCTCCAAACCTCACAGTTTCTTCCTCTCGCCGCTGCTCGAAAATTCTCTCTCCGACCACCTCCGTGGCTGTTTTTAACCGATCCCGCCAGTGTTAGGATCAGCAGTGCCACCAGACAGTAAGACGCAACTGTGTGTGACCTCGACACCGTAACTCTCATCATGACTATGATTATAGCAGGCGGGAGGGAGAGAGAATAATAGATAAATTTGGTGATGGCAAAACAAACAAATGTGTTTTGTTCTTTCTCTGGCGTGAGGCTTGTGTTTATGTAGAGAGAGATTTTGTGATGGCTACACAAGCAAATGTGTTTTGTTCTTTCTCAAACGTGAGGCTTGTGTTTATATAACGCCATGTGTCGATATAGACGGCATAGTACTAATAAGCAATCATTATCACCACTCATCATTTAAATAATTAATTCCCCATTTTGGTCAATTAAGTAAGAACGTTACTAAAAATAAATAAAAACTTTTGGATTTATATCGTGTTAAAGGCAGAGTATGGTCAAAATCCTTTTATTAAGTGAAGAAAGACTCTGAAATATCACTCCTAATTAAATAGAAAAATTTACAAACAAGTTTTAGATAGGTTATGGGGACTCGACTGTTTGCTTCTGAAAATGATATTTTCTCATATATGATGACTCATGAAAATAATTGGTTTTAACTGTTTTGCGTGTGTTGTATCTTTCTGCAAGTATAAAAGACATATTTATATAACAATCAATCTTGTTATTGTACTTTTTGTGAAAAAATAACAGCGCACACAACAAAACAAAAGGCAAAAGAGTAGACTGCAGATACACAAAATACAATGAACCTTGATTACAACTTACAAGTTTTGCTTAATTACGGTGTTCAAATTGGATAAATCGAACTCTGTTTTAATATAGTTCAAATGGATTCACTATTTCTATATCCGGAAAACTTGTATTTGCATTGAAAGAAAAAAAAAACAATCTGATCGAATACATTAGATTCAAGAAAATATTTGATCAAAACCGACACAAAACCTAATTGTTTCTGAAAATTAAGAATACATTTGATGAAAACATAAATTCGATTTTAAACTGAAACCATACGAAATCATTTATTTTAGGCTTTAGATATTATTGTTCATAAAATAAAAAGTCGAGAAAACCTGAACCGAAATCTATATGCAGACTCCTAATTTCGTTTAGTAGTCTAAGAACTAGAATCCAAATTATGAAGGGAAAAAAAAAAAAAAAACTCAAGTCATTTTCTGTTACAAATTTTCAAATTATTTTTATTATAATCAAAAGATGAAACAAATGTTGTCTTAGCAGATAACATCAGAAAAAAAAAAAGTTTCTTCTAAAGGAAAAAAACATTCTTAAGGAGGTCGGCATTATGGAATACTTTCGGTTATAACTTAGTATATCAGACGTAATGCGTATGAATAGACACGACAAACACACGTACATGTGGGACACATCGACCTCTCGCTCGTGTAACTAGCGCCGTATAGTTCCTAAGGTGTTGTGCTTGTGACTTGTTGAATTTTCTTTGTATTGTATGGTTAGAAAGCAAAACAACAAAAAATATAAGATATATTATTGTCTATTTTTGCTTAATGGGTCGGCCGACATATGACATCGACATACTGTATAAAATAACATATGTAATAAGGAAAGAAAAATACAGAAAATCAGGCCACTCACATCACATTTGATAATAATTGAAAATAAGGATGATAGGAATTAAATATCCTTGGAAAATATGGTGTTTTGGTTGTTGATGATTCGTTATATGGATTATATATCCTTGGAAAATATGGTGTTTTGGTCACGGATCAAATTAAATGTGAATTTTTTTTTTTTGGTAGGGAAATTGAATGTGAATTTATATTTGCATTTTCTTCCCTTTGCCATAATAAATATCTTAAGTAGCATGAAAACTGGATTTTGATTTTCTATGAATCTTGGAATTAGTCTAATTAAGTTTTGATTTGAGATTTATGAACTTTAACATATTTGTTTTGACAAAGACTTCCGGTTTAGATGTATCTAATTTGTTAGCGTTAGGGCTCTCGGAGTTATGGTTTAGATTTGTGTTAATTATAAGTTATAAAATTCTATGTTACAATAAATAGATTAATTGTAGAAGTTTAACTTTTGATAGATATATTCTATATTAAATAAATAGAGAAATGATATTATAAAGTAGAATTCTATTTTGGATTGCTAAATGCCATTTTGTTGTTGAATTTTATATATTTATGATAGAATTAGATTATTATGTGTTTAAAATCTACTTAATGGTCTCAAGTTTAAACAAGAAAAAGCATAATACATCTGTTTTATTTGACAATACTTGAACTATTTCCTCAAAAATAATTAGTTCAAAACTGGAAAACAAAGCACATCATCATCAATTTTCCAGTTGTAGGAAAAAGTGATAATAATGGAATAATCAAAATGAATTACTTAAAACAAATACATCAACATTCAAAGAGTTGAGTTGAGAATGGAACGTTAAAGAAAAATGGATGAAGAAGTCTTGAAGACAATGATTCATTTGAGTGCAATCAAATAATTGTGCAAAAAAAGAAAAAAAATTCGGTATGTATTTATTTATTTAATTATTGCTTAGTGGATTCTTGTGATTTCAAATCATCAAATAAAAACAAGATCTTCACTTCTTTGTTCCTCGTCATCATCTTACTATATGTGAATTTTTGCTTGCTGGAGAAGAATTCAGCATCTCTTTTAGAATAGAAAATCTGAACCTCGTGCATTTCTTTTCATTCAGATCGATTGATTGTTTTTAGATCAGAAGATTATCTCTTAATGACGATGTTTGAACTTTTATGTTCTTGGAAGAAGTTTAAGAGATATGTTTTTTCATATCTTCTTGCTTATTCAAGTAGAGATAACCTAACTTGTCGTCAAAGAAAGTTGTAATATGCTGTGTGGAAAAACCACTATAGCTCTTCTCCATTTTCATTGAGCAAATGCAGTGAATAGCTTTGAAGAGCTCGTTCTTATGTGTGATAGGTTGAGAGGCAGAGTCCTCGAACCGCATCCACTGTACATTCAAGAACCAAAAGTTGGGAAAGATTGCGAGAAAATTAATGTTTCAGATTCAGAAAAAGAAGTAAATGTTACTTTACTTGAGCTGCTTCGATTTCTAAGTCCTGTTTTTGAATATCAAAGGAGGTAGGTCTCAAGAGACAAACGAAGAATAAATCTGACTTGGCAAAAAATGACTCGTGGGTTTGACTGCAAACAGGAGGCTTAAAGGATTAGAACGTGGAAGTATCAAGAAACAATATATGAAGCAGAGGGTATGATATATGATCCGTACCAGAAAGCTAGAATCTCCAAAAACTCAGTGTCGATCTGAAAATAAATGTATGAAAACGTTAGGTTATATATATTGATTTACACATTTATATTAAAGATATATGGATCTTCATCTTACGCCTGTTTCTTCTTTTACTTCTCTAATGGCTGCCGCGAAAATCTCCTCACCCTAGACGCAATAAAATAAAATGATAATGAAATCTTCAACAAATATATACAAAAGGGAATGAAAACCTTTTGCTACAGATATAACACATATATACCTCGTCAACAACTCCTGTTGGGATCTTCCAGTTACCTGATCCGCGTAATGTACCGTATTTTTCCTGCACCACAAGAATCTGCCTCTAGTTTTAATATTAAGATGCAAATACTGGAATATGGAGTACATTTTTAACTCATGTTGGCTGTTGCCAGCATTTTCATTTCCATGCTATGATGATTAGAATATTATGACTTGGAAATACAAAAATACACAATGGTGCCCTAAGTACCTCTTTGTTATGGTTCAAGACAACAGCACCAACACGAACACGATGGGAAGCATTCAAAGGAATAGTACTCTCGGCTTCCGGAATCCAATAAACTAGCATCAGGTAAGTTGGCTCAGCGTGGTGATACCTGAAACCTTCCTGCGTGCACAAATTATTTATCGGACCATAGTTTTGTTCATTCTTCACTGTAATAATACATGGGGTTTTGCAGCCATAACTTGGTATATCAACTATACCATTACCCTAAATATGTCAAACTAAAAAAAAAAAAAAAATCTAAAATATGTACATGTTACAAACTCAAGTGACAATTACAACACACTCTTTCAATATCGAACGTTTTATACATTTGTCACGGACGTTAAGTGGAGTTTCATCTTAAAACTAATTAGCAATTATGAGGGATTCGTCTTAGAAAAATGACATCTAATTAACAAAAGCTGATAATAAGTACTGACGTTAATATGCAAGACTTAGGAATCACCTTGACCGCAGGTTCCACGAGGTTTACGTGTGAGAGAGGCAAGTTTAACCAGACTCCCTTTTTACCCTGAAAAAAAACAAAAAGTCTTACACTCAAGAAGAGAGAGATGCATGTGATCTCGCACCAGCACAAACCTGTGACCGCCACTGCTGGAATGAATATCTAAGCGCTGCAACAAAAGACTTAGCATCCATAGGAGTTTTCATCTCCACGATCACTCCTCCGTAGTCATCATCTACAAACGGAAGTACCTCACAAATCTTGTGTTCTACTCCATTAATCAGAGGGGCCTCTTGGTCATCTGACATGCTTCAAATTCTGAGAAATTTGGTCGAAGATCGGATGATTCAAGTATTCAACCAAAGTAGAAGATAGAGAAAAAAGGTGAGTGTGGTTTATTCAACGAAGCAAATGATTTCAAAATGAGAACAATCACAAGGCGGTAATGGCAGAAGTCAAGTGCTTATATAAGTAGATTTAGATATTTACTAACATATATACATTAGTGGGGTGGGTCATAAATCATAAACATAAGAAATTCATAATTGCCTTCACATTAACCCGACGCAGTCCTTCGGTGGGGTGACGCAGACCCACACGTCACCTTAACGCAAAAATATGTATTTGCATACGTAACAACACCCTAATTAGAAATACTTTGATCATGCGAATTTTAATTTTTGGCAACATATATCAGTTTAGTTTGATCGTTTAGTTTGATCGTTACATGTTCATTAGAGAATGGGCTTGTTGACATCATGGAACGTAACTTACGATATAAAACCAAACCAACCTTTATAGAGTGCAAGTAGGCCCATTGCCTGCAAAACAAAAATAAAAAAAATCGCCCACCGTGGGGCTCGAACCCATGACCACAAGGTTAAGAGCCTTGCGCTCTACCAACTGAGCTAGACGGGCTTTTGTTTACCTTCCAGAAAACTAAATTAATACCGTAAGATATCCCCCCGTCTCAATTTTGAGTTGAATCATTCAGCCATCTTTGGTCACCACTAACAACAAAAACAAATCAAAGGCCAACCTTTCTGTGACCGGTTGGCTCTGTACCTGGCAGCTACAAGAACGCTTGGCATCTGTGTCTTGTGCTGCTGGCAAGCCATAACATCGATGTGAAGCCGCTCAATACCCACAGGCTCGGTTTCTCTCAGGAGGAAGTGGGAAAAGCCCTATGCTCGTGGAAGTGATGCTATCAAGGTCTATAAGATGCTTCGGAAACACTGTTAATACATCATTGTGGACATCCTCCTGACTATAATCTGAATATAGTATTAAATTCTCTCTATGACAAATCATCACTTTTATTACACTGTAACATGACCACAAATATCTATGCCATAAATTACAAGACAAGAATGTTGACCAAAGAGGGACAAAAGTTCCTATGCCTAAGAAGTAAGAACTGCAACCAACGTGGTCAGATCCATACGCGGCTCTGGAACTGATCAGACCATGTCTCTGCTCGGACATCAAACAAATATAATACTTGATACAATCAGTGGTCCATAATCTTCTCTGAGGCCGTCTGTCTTACTGCAGAGACTTAATGAAGCCAGAGAGACAGATGCCTTGATGCTACCAACAATCTCTCGTACAACAAAACAAACAAGAACTCTTGACACTCGGAGAAGAAGAGGTTTGACAAAGGTGAGGAACTAGGGCTATGTTTTGCGTCTCAAGGCAAAATGGCGGTTGGCTCCGTAGACCACTTCCATACTTTAACTTGACCACTTCCATCACCGGTGAAAAATATGCCCCCGGGACCAATCTGGATCGACCGAATCTCTTGCTTTGCTAAAATTTTGCCCCTTTCCGTAAACCTTACACGAGAACGAATAACCTAAGCTTTTGAAAGTAAAACATAATTGTAGAGTAATGAAACAAACAGGAAACAGCATTGGAAGGACTTACGATGGCAAATCATAAAGGTGCAATGAATTGTCATTGCACGAACATAGCAATACTGGCTTGGCTTCTGCATCATGGACACCACAGAGAGCTAGCACGCCCTGAATCCAAATAGCCATTTAGAACTCATTAGTTACATAAAGATTGAACCAAAAGAGAGTAAGATTTCAACAAAAATGCTAGGAACTGTACGTATTCTTCTTTGTGAGTATATGTGACTTCTAAATTTCCACCTTCAGTAGCAGCCCATATCTACAACGGAAAAAAATATCCCAACAGGGGGCAATGTCATATTCAGGAATCGAGCCAGGTCAAAAGAATTTTCTAGCGAGTTAGAAAGGAACCTTGACGGTATTGTCCAAAGAACATGACAGAAGAAATTGATCCCAGCAAATGAGAGACATGACAACTGAAGTATGCTCTGTAAGCGTTTGTATACACTGCAGATTATCCAGGCTCCAAACCTATTAAAAAACAGATAAGGCAGGCCTATGAGCTTAAACATAAAAGAAAAACAGAGAAGTGGATTTTAATTTAGGTGTGATATGCACTACTTACTTTTATAGAATTGTCCATGGCACCGGAATAGAGTCTGTTTGCCCCAACATATAAAGAAACAACTGCAAGGGTGTGGCCCATTAATGATGCAGCTGGATCAAAACAGCTAGTGGTGCTATTGTATCTCCAAACCAAAATAGACCCATCCTGCATAGAGAGTGTTTTGTCCTTGTAAGAAGAATTTTTATCAAAATCCAATAGACCTGTAGATTTCAATAGCAGAGGTGTTTTTTCCTAGAGATGACGCAAACTCGTAATGATATTTCAGGAGAAAAAAAATATACGCACAACGCTGAAGTGAAATTTTACTCCAAGTCTCCACACAACGCTGAAGTATACACAAGGCCTTAGAAAAAAAGTTTACAGTCAGTAAAAGTATTTACTTGTGTGCCAGCGAACAATAGATCAGTGCCCACAACCAATGAATATACTTGGCCAACAGGTCCAGTGAGACTCAGGTCTACATTGTTTTGGATATTCCACGCCTGCATATTTACATATACATATTTCAAAAATGTATGTCCGTAACATCAATAAAACTCAACACATAGGACATAAAAGTGATTCTCAATACAGATGAAGAGTTTTAACAGTCAAGGAACCATGCTAGTGAATACTCTGAACTTACCTTAACAAGATTTGGCATGCCAACCAATAGCCAGGGGCCTTCACTAATCATGCAGCCAACTTCCCCACCAAGATTGAGAACACCTGTACACTACATCGTAGGAAAAACAATACTAGAATGATAAGCACGCTTATAAATTAGTCAAAGCAACCAGCCTTATCAAAATGATGTTTTAAGTTCAATAGCTAAACTACATGAACAGAGGTTCTACAAAGTGAGAGGCCAAAATAGGACATACCTTATTCCGGTCCTAACCAAGTAATGGCAAGTATCCATCGAATGATTCTACTACCACTATGGAACGAAACTCAATCAAACAACAATAAAAGATGCAAATCAAAACCTGTCCAGAAGCACAATCCCATATCCGCACAGTTTCATCTTTACTCGCAGTGTAAAGCTTATCTGATCCTGATGGTAGAGCAATCCCAGTGACAACCTACTCAAGAAATCAGCACCAAAAAAAAAAAAAAAACATCAATATCGCCAACAAGCACAAGAATCCAGCATCACTTATAAATACTCCCAACAACAAGATACCTTCTGATGTCCGTCTAGCTGCGTCAACAAGGAGAAACTATCTCCTTTGCTCCAACAATGCAAGTATCTACATTTATCACCGTAAGGGCAATTTCCATCAACCCAGAATTTGCAAAGTTTCTCCGTCTTGGTCACCGTTCTGTTCCCACCGAATCTTCCCCAGTTATTAGCAGTCCCGCTGAATCCTGGCCCTCTCCGGTGACTCGGACCCGCAAAACCAGATTCATCAGCGACCCTTTTATTCGTAGACGAAAGACCCGGACCCGGACCCGGCAATTCTCTATGCAGGTAAGGGCAAGGGTAACGATTGCACCGGCCAGCTCGCCAGTGGAAACAAACCTTCTGATTTGAATCCGTCATCGGCCGATTCGAGCCACCGCCTAGTCTCTGAAAGACTCTCTTGTTTCCTCCGTTCATATCTAAATCCATCGAATTGGATTCTCTTTAAATTACAAGAAGTGATTCAGAAAACTCGGAATTGGATTATCCTGTAAACGTCGAACGGATCATTACTGTTCAAAAGACCAAATCCGATCATAAGTGAAAAAAAAACAAGCGCGAAAATCGAACGAAACCCTAACAGAATTACCTCTCTGAATCAAGTATATAAAAGGTTCAAAGGAATATCTCACAAAGGAGGTTTCTTTGATAAATCAAAATTGGAAGACGAAAGTGATTAATGGAAGAGAATGAAAGAATATGTCAAGCGGCTTCGGGTTTTTTAATCTTCGGATCATTCTTGAAGAAAACAGAACAAGTGAACAGAGAAATTAGATCACTCCACGTCGGCTTAACATCAATTCAATGGTCGTTAAATTTCTTCTTGTTAAATATAAATTAGTATAAACTATTGTTAATCAAAGTTGTATATAAAAGTAACACAGATTCCACCATTGTTACAAATGAAATTACACGAGTAAAACTTGTAAAATTACTCAAAGGCTAGTCTCTGAGTGCCAACAAGTGAAGCATATGATCCCTTTTGCGCCACCAATTCGGAATGTGTTCCAAGCTCTATGATCTTCCCATCAGAGCATACAGCGATCTGATGCGCGCTCTGTACTGTGCTCAATCTGTGAGCGATGACTAATGTTGTCCTGTCTTTCATTAGACGGTTCAACGCACTCTGGACCAACCGCTCGCTCACTGCATCAAGCGCACTTGTGGCCTGCAACAAAAAGGCAGAGGAGTCTCATATTATTTTAACACTATATCTGCTTAAGGACTGGTCTTCCGTCCATACAGCTTAGATGAGAGCTTAAGAGTAATTCTCTCTCTCTGCATTCTTGCATTAGAAATTGTTTTGAATGTAGCACGGAGATGTTTGTGTTCTTGATTGATATGCTATTACTTAGGTAATGGTTCTAGCAATGAAGACAGTACATCAAAGGCGAGATTATTAAAATAAGAGTCTCTCACCTCATCGAGAATCAAGATGGGGGCATTCTTCAGCAGAGATCGGGCTATGGCAACTCTCTGACATGTTGATAAACAAGCACATCAAAGCGGTAGCAAAAGTCTATAAGGATCAAAAACATGTAGCTCATAATGTTTCTATACCTGTCTTTGTCCTCCGCTAAGCAACCCTCCTCTTTCACCAACCAGTGTATCGTAGCCCTATAAACAAACACCGGTATTGCTCAGAAGAACAGAAGTGCATTTACCAGGAAGAAACAGGTGAGTAGTTGCACTTAAGGGTTAAGGCACACAAATCCGAACCTGAGGAAGTGAGATTATGAAATCATGAGCGTTGGCAGCTTTGGCTGCCTTAATGATGTCGTCCTTGGACACATGCTCATTGGGGAGACCATATGCAATATTCTCGGCCACGGAGAGAGAAAAGAGAACAGGTTCCTGAATCACACAGAAATATAACCTTTGAAAAACAGAAGAAGAAATAATCCCACCATGTCTGACCCATAGATGTTAAGTATACACACCTGATTCACAATTGAGACAACCTTAGCCCATTCACTCTTGTCAAACATCCTCACATCTTCTCCACCCACAGTAATACGTCCTTGTGTTGGCTGCAAGAATTGAAAATTCAACCTATCAGCATGATGTAAAAGTGGCTGTAAACTAAGACTTAACAGATATTACACTTCACATTGGAAGAGGAGTATAGATTCACCTCATAGAAGCGTGCCAATAACTGTACAATAGTACTTTTTCCCGCACCACTAGAGCCAACAAGAGCAGTTACGGTACCAGAATTCAACGTTAAACTCAGCCCATCAAGAACTTTCACGTCGGGTCGTAGAGGATAAGCAAAATGCACATCTACACTAGACAACAAAATAGAACATGGAAAAAAAACAAGGTTAGAAAAAGGTAAAAATCTGCAGTTAACCTTGGGGGCCCTTGAAGTAAGATATTATGAGGAGAGTTTTTCTTGGTCTGGTTTTACCATCAAGACAGACATCTCCTGCCCATGTTAGGGTACGAAGATTGTTAGTTGATTTCAGATTTGACATGTAGTAGTTATCGAGGGTGACGGATATTCACATTAGGGCCAGAAGACAAGAACAATTTAAGGTTTTCATCTTGGACTTTCTTTGTATTTATATCTCTTTCTAACCCGTAGGCAAGAGCCTCATCTATGTCCACCGCGTTTAAAATGGAATTGATCCTGTCAATAGCAGCAAAAGTCCCACGTAGATCTCCAAACGTGTTTACAAGCCCTTGGACCTGGAAAACAGAATCACTCACTGATTATGGTAAACTAAACTGTAGCATATGGGTAACAGTAAATGCTGTGTAGACAGAGGTACTTACAGCAAATGTTAGAGTAAATGTGTATCCAATGAACGAAACAACTGTTCCAACAGCGAGCTCACCCTGGGTAGGAGAGAAATTTAAGAATAAGAACCAAGAAAAATAAAGTGCAAAGGAGCTAAAATGTAACAACATAAGCAACTACACAAAAGAGATTCTCTTTATGTTTAAATGGCCAAGAAGCTTAATTTCAACTTCAATGATCATAATGGCAATCAAAAAGTCTAGAGGCAGGTATATCTTACCGTCTTCACCTTGCTTCCCCCGAGACAGTAAAGAGCCAACAGAGATATATAAACAGCAACTCTTGTTATTGATTCATTTATAGACTTGAAAGTACCAAGCTTTAAGCCGCTAAGCTTGTAAGAAAGAATCTGTACATCAAACAAAAGGTTAGATTAATAGATTATGGAACAGTTAGAACAAAAACAACAATTGTTTAGAAGAAATGAGTTTTAGATAGTAAGAAGTCTGAAATATGACCTGACTACCAAAGAGAGACATCTGACGTTTTTCACCGCTGAATGATCTTACCTATAAAGAGAGACAAATTACTTGAGTCTTCAAAGGTAAATCAAGGTTTCTTTAATTAATTTAATCTGCCTAAAACATACAAATATGATGAAGTCAAGAATTTACAGTTCGGATTGCAGAGAACGTTTCTGATACACAATCAGACATTGTTGCTTGAGCTAACCCGTGTGCTTTATAAACAGGAACAGTCGATCTCTTGTACACAGCTTTTGAGATTTGACCGAGGGAGCAGATGTAGAGGTAAGAAAATTTAGCAAAGATGACCAAAGTAATTACCAAAAAAAAAGTTTAGGAGAATGAAAAAGACAGAGAGAGTTTACCAACTAAAACTGACACTGCTAGCATCAATAGACCAAGCACAGGTGCAAGTTGAGGAGATAGAGTAAACAGAATGCAGATTGTTCCAAAAACCTACAAAAGGGATAACGCATAAGCATGAGAACTGAGCATTCTTGAGATACAACAAGATACTCTCTGTCATTTATAGAACTCCAAAAATAACATCAAACACAACACCAGGCTAAGATTAAGTCTGTATTCATTATGCAAAATGGAAGTACAAACAAAAAAGTCTCACATTTGCATAGTAAAGAAATGGCTTGCCTCTGTAAATGCCCTAAATCCACGATCTCGTGAGATGTTATCATTCACAATGCTATTCAGGGCACCAAGATCAGACGTTAGCAGCCCCGTAAGCTCTCCTACCTAAAAGAAATGAACTCAGTTTAACATAATGGCCAGGAAGGTTTGTGCCAAAATGTCCAAAACAACAAACAAACCAAGAGAAAAAGAACACAGACCTTATATTTGTCGAAGAACTCTGCCTGAAAATATTTAAAAGACAAAAAAAATAAACCCATCAAAGATATTCCAATACAGCCAACAGTATAGCTTAAGCAAACGTTAATGATACAAAACAAAGCATACTTTCTGGATCAAAACCCTTCTGAAAATCTGAGCTCTTAATGTTGCCATAACGTTTTCCCAAATAGCAGTCATGTTGGTCACAAAAGCAATAGTAAAAATGGGTTCCAACGAGTACAAAACAGCAATTTTGCTCAGGAGCCGCCACAGAGGCTCCGGTCTCACCCCAATCAGCACTTCAAAGAATCTACCTTTACTCAAAACCATAACACTTACCATTATAAAACAGCTTCACCAATATAAAGATTCAATAAAGAGAAACACAGATACTAAGCTAAATCATCATACCTAAACTTAACCTAAATTCAGTGAATAGAAGAATCGATTACCAGAAAAAACAGGCATAGAGAGAGTGCAAGTACTGCAGCCAAGGAGAGTCAGTAAGCAAACACTGAGCCTGAGCTTGTGTTTGCTCATCAAGCTCCACACAAGACCCCAACTGATTAAATCCTTCGATTCAGCCTCAGATTTGGATTCTTCAATCTTTGGGTCTGGTTCGTCCACGATAGGCGGCGCTCCAGTAACATAGGCCCGAGCCAAGCCATCGGATTTTACCCTCAACGAAGGCCGGAACGGAGCAGTGGAGCTAGGTAAGCTGCGGAAGGAAATCAAGGGCTTTAGTCCGCAAGGTTTAAGGACAGAGGCTTGGTACCGTCTACGAGCGACGAGGACTCGAGTGGAACCGTGGTGGAACAGAAGAGTTGTTGCAGACGCCATTGATGTTGGTGGTCCAACGAGCTTCAAGACTGTATAAAAATGGCTAATTTTGGAAACAAAAAAAGGCCACGTGGGCTGGGTTTTGTGAATCCTCACTAAGGAGAGATATCTTTTTTTTTCTTAACTTGTTATTTATTCATAACAAAAATCTGAGTAGGTTAATTCATGATTAATTTACCTCCAAAAAAAAATCAAGTTGTTTAAAGTTTTCTCTTTTCCTGCAAAAATGATTTGTACAAGTTGCTGTAAAGAGAAGGTCTGGGTTATGGATTCGATGTGAACTTTAGCTATCATCAAAATTGATTATTATGTCTCCAAATTGAGAAATCCAAATAGAACTTGGAACTTTAGCTTATTAGCTATCATTACTTAAGTTGCCAGTTCTTTAGCTATTCAAAGAACTTTTTTTTTTTTTTGTTATTTACAGAAAGAAAAAAAAACTGAACCTTTTGATATTTATATTGCCTAGAATTTCTTTTGTTTTACAAAAAATCTAGGAACTTTGGATATTTACCAAGCGTCCTTGAGTTTAGATATTTGTTGAAGTATCAAAACTGTTGCTATCTTACCAACCTAGAACTTTTGTTCTTTACATTAGTGCTTGGAACTTTTCTTAGCCACGGAAATGCCAGAATCATTTAACTTAAATTTTACAGGTGAGCCCAAACTTATTGTTTTTACCAAATTACATACTTATAATACTTATGTTTTTGTTTATTTTTATTGTTACTCATAAGGAGACCGAGATAATAATAATATACTGCACTCAAAAACACTTGCATTTGACAACACCTTTACTGAATCATATACATTCGTTCCTCACACCACCAAAAAAAAATGACGATCCGTTCTAAAAAAGGATCTAATTTATAAAAAGCTATAATACCTAAAAATGTACATGAAAATCGAATTAATAACTCCATAACGACACGTCATCATCTCCCTCGACATCAAAATTATAGTTCCATTGAACGGACGGCGGCGGCAAAAGCATCCCTTCGGCCATATTATCCAACAAACTCGACATCCCGAATATCGCCTCGTCGTCTAAATAAAACGCGTCGCTCTGTTCCGCCGTTACAATAGCTTCCACCATCGTCTCTTCCATGTCAATGCCATGTTCCGTCGTCGTCGTATCACACATCTCATATTGAAAAGCCATCGCGGCTTCAGCCGCTGCCTTTTGGATTTCCTTGGCGCACGTTGACTCGGGGATTCGTAGCCTCCAAGCCGAGTCAGCGAAATTAAGACAGGCTGATCTGCCACGGAGAGCTAAGGCGGCGACGTCGTGAGCACGAGCGGCCATCTCGGCGGTTTGGAAAGTCCCGAGCCAAATCCTCGTTTTCTTGTTTGGCTCTCTCAACTCACAAACCCACTTACCGGAGTTTCTTTGACGAACTCCTCTGTAAATTGGGTGACGAGTCTCACGAAACTTCTTTCTTCCGGCAGGTTTCTTGGGACAGCTCGTCGCCAGCGTCGGAATATAATCGCCGCCTGAGGACTCGTAGTCGGAGCCAAACATTTCAGAGAAAGCAGAAAATGATGAGTTCATTGATCAGTACTCTGTTTCAAGAAACTGGATAAGGTTACGAGTAGAGTGTAAGTAGATGATCTAGGTCTTTTTTTGTATGGCTTTGATAAAATATTTATTTTATTTCTCTCTCTTTCTTTTCTAATTCTGGTAAGTTTGAAGTTCTTGGAGTGGGAGCTTGGTGTTTTATATTGGCCGGAAGATATTTGGATATTTGTGGGCGTCGAACACGGAGTTTCTGTCTCTGTGAATGCCACGTGGTTAAGACACAGCTAAGCGATCCCACGGTTTTGTAATCATTTAGGCTGTCAATCACTCAGAGTCTGCCATGTGTCCTTTGACCCATCTTGGGAAGTTTCTGACCTTCCCTTTGTGAGTTTTTTAACTTATTAACCTTATTGTATGAGTTTGTTCAAAAAAGAAAAATCTTATTGTTTGAATGTGTGGCTGCTGTTATACTAGTGTACGACAACCATTACTATTATTAGTCTATTAAATATACTTTTCCATGAAAAAACAAATTTTTATAATAGTTGCTCGTCTACACAATAATAGACATACAGATAAAAGATCTGTGAAATGAGTGAGATATTTTGAAATGCTCTTTCTGTCTTTTCTTCATTGGCATAACGTATTTCAAATACTTCTAGAATATAAGTGGAGTAGATATTTGTCTACTAATATTTTTATATATATATTTGTTGGTCTAATTAAAACATTAAAAAGTTTGATTAACTAAATTAATCAAAATTTGGTCGTAGACTAGTAGGCATGTAAATTTAATTCAACACTTCCCGTAAAATCTTGAAAAATAACCAGTTTTACTTTTTTTATTTTGTATATTGTCTAAAAAAAAAATTAAATATGCTAACGTAGTTTCCTAAGTTTTCATGGAGGCTATGAAATTTTATTATGATTTCTAGAAATATATTGAGAACCCATGTTGGCTTAAACGTAAAGAAAAAAAAACGGCTTTTGGATATTGGGATATCGTGTTTCCGCTGGCTTATGTATTCCAACAATGTATCAATCTTCGCATGATATCAATAAAAACAAATGACAGAAAAATAAAATAAAAAATTGTGATACGAGTTAGAAACATAATTTTAATCGCATAAATTAGTATATTTTCTAGAATATTCTGTACATAAATATACATATGGTCGTGACTCGTGAATTAACAATTTGCAAGGGTGTATTGGATATGATAGACAAAGTAGGACAAGTGTTTGGGTAAATTTGGCAAAAGGAAAATATGGTAATTAATTAAGCATGCAACAAAAAGTCATTTTGTTAATTGTTATGGTAATTGATCACAATTGTCAGTATCTCTAACAATAGTCTAATTTCTCTCCATTCTCTAGTGGTGGTGACGAATTCCTCCTCTTCTTCTCCAAGAGCGTCTTCCTCCTCTTTACTCTTTTTTTGTTCAACCACTATATAAATAAGCTCAAATGTTTAATTACTTCTAGTAATAACAAATTAAGCTAGCGTAGAGACATTAAGTTAAATAAAACTAAACAAAAAATTGTAACTGGTTTAAGCCAAGGATTAGACCAATACAGTAGCAAGTAATACATCACACTCAAATTTCAGTAGTAGCAATAAAATATCACAAATATCAACAACAGCGATAAAATATCTGCACGACAAACGTTTCTCTCTCGCTACCTTTCACTATCAAGTGTCTCACGGTGTCACGTATTGACATCTTCAGAGAAACAAGACGACAAAGCGTGGTGGGTCGAAAGAGAGTGGTTAAGGTACAGAAAACGACAAATAAGGTATTATTATAAAAATAGAAAGTAAAACTTGAAAATGACGTAACATTGATTCCAGCTGAGCCACGTAGGGGGGCCAAGGCCAATGAACAGAGAGGAAGCTACGGAACAAGGGCTCTCTTGTGGGACCCATCTTTCTGTTTATTGACGTTTTTGCTGAATGTGTTGTTTCGGTTTTACACTCTAATTTAGGAAACATTTTTTTGGTGGATTAGTATAGATTTGAAACGCCTCTATTTTTATTTTTATGTAATTGTTTAATTATTTATGTATCTGATTTTTTATTTTTTTAATACAAATGTTTCCGTCATTATTTTAATGGCATTCCTTATCCTCTCTGTTCCTATTGTTGATGAACCTCTTTTTTTTTTATTATCATAAGAAGCAACTTTTTTGTTGCTTATATATTGAACTTAAAAATACTTGCATTTAAGAAAAATCCACACTTACTGAATGAAACCATTATAGAAAAGGATCTTAAAAAAAATGGAAATAAAAATAGGTTTTTAATAACTCCATAACGATAAGTCATCATCGCCGTCGACATCGTAATTATGATTCCATTGTACTGACGGCAGCGGCAAAAGCATCCCTTCCGCCATATTAGCCAACAAACTCGGCATCCCAAACATTGCCTCCTCGTCTATATAAATCGATTCCTCGCTCTGTTCCGCCGTCACAAAAGCCTCCACTAACGTCTCCTCCATGTCGAAGCCATGATCCGTTCTCGTATCACACATCTCATCTTGAAACGCCAACGCAGCTTCAGCCGCCGCCTTTTGGATTTCCTTGGCGCAAGTTGATTCCGGGATTCGTAGCCGCCAAGCAGAGTCAGCGAAATTGAGACAGGCGGATCGGCCACGGAGGGCTATGGCGGCGACATCGTGAGCACGAGCTGCCATCTCGGCGGTTTGGAAAGTTCCAAGCCAAATCCTCGACTTCTTGTTTGGCTCTCTAAGCTCACACACCCACTTACCGGAGTTTCTCCGACGAACTCCTCTGTAAATTGGGTGACGAGTCTCACGAAACTTCTTACGACCCGCCGGTTTCTTGGGGCAGCTCGTCGCCAGCGTCGGACTATAATCACCGCCTGTGGAAACCGAAGACTCGTAGTCGGAGCCAAATATTTCAGAGAAAGCAGAAAATGAGCTCATTGGTCTATAGTCTATACTCTGTTTGAAAAAAATTTGGATAAGGTTATAAAAAGTAGTAACTAAAAGATCTGTGTTTTTTATGTTGGTCTGATAAAATATTAATTTCTCTCTCTTTTTATTTTCTAGTTCAGGTGGATTTAAGTTTGTAGTTGATAAAAAAGTTGGAGTGAGAGAGCTTGCTGTTTTATAATGGCGGAAGATATTTAGATAGAAAAGGCAAACACGGGGTTTGTGTCTCTGGGAATGCCACGTGGACTATACACAGCCAAGCAATTGTGAAATGAGTAGTTTAAGGTTTTACTCACTAAGAGCCTGCCATGTGTCCTTCGACCCTCTTGAGAAGACTTTTTTTTGCCTCTTCACTCGTTAAGATACCTTTATGTGAATGTGTGGCTGTTATGTGTTATCATGTGATATGTACTAATAAGTAAGTGTAGGACAACAGTTATTTATTATTATATTCCTGAATATAAGAAATTGTCGTTAATTGTCACCCGTCAAATAGACATAAAGATTGTGAAAGAGATATTATTTTAGGTAGATGCTCTTTTTTTTTGTTTGGCTTTTCCCCTTTACATTGCAAATCCTTCTAGAGTATGAATAGGGAGAGTAGATATTTTTGTGCTAATATATATTTAGCTAACAAAATATACAAAAGTTAGAACATAATGTAATCGTAGTTTTAAAATATTAGAACGTAATGCATTGACAAATCGTGTGGGTGTGTTTGGATTCAGGAAACAAAATAGATAATTATATTTTGCAAAAAAAATAAAAAAGATAATTATGTAAGTATGTGACAAAAGAAGAATGTAGTAAGCATGCAATAAAAGAACATTTTGCATTAAGTTTATCACAATTCTCAACCCTCTCTCTCACTCTAGACTATTTTCTCTCTTTTCTCTCTTTTCTCTCTAGTGACCGGAGATGAGCTTCTCTTGCCTACAGCCACCGTATTTCCTTCTCATCCATCTCTGCCGAGAGCTTCTCACTAAAAGGAGTTTCTTACTCATGTATTCTCTTCTTTCCTTCAACCACTACATTAGTCATATGATCCTCTCCTCTTCAGCTACCTCTCCTCCACCTTCCCTTGCCGAAAAATTAGTCACAGATCATAGTGAGTAAAATTTCTTGCTAAGGTACTCGTGTTAACCCTTTTTATCACATACTAATTTACTTGCTCCATTTGAATGTTCTATATCCATCATGATATACCTTTTCTTAGAGTATGCAATCTAAAATCATGTGCTCTCCACTCCCTCGCTAGTCGCTACTGATTTAATAATTATCTGAATTATACAACAACAACAAAAAAACCACAATTTATAAAAATAGACAATCAAAATTAATTTCGGAAGTCCAAATTAAAAACATGTTAATCAATTGTCTTTTATCTAGTATCCCCAGTTTTTTTTTTGTTCAAATAATCGGATGCACAAGTGTGGAGTCTTACAAAGCAAGCTTAATTGCTTAGTGTAGCGAACTAACAGGTGTTTAACAAAACTATAGTGTAGCGAACTAAACAAGAACGAAACATGTGACTGTGGGTTAAGCCAAGAATTAGCCCGATAGTACTATAGTAACTACAAAATATCTCAAATCTCAATAATACCTATATAATATCTCAATACCAATAAGAGCTAAATAAAATATTAGCATAAGTTATATTCGCGTCAAAAAACGTCCCCCCCTCGTTACCTACCTCTCACACTCAAGTCTCTCACGTTAAATGAGATATTTTCATAGAAGCAAGACGACAACGAGAGGGTAAAAGATTGGTATGGTCAAGAAAACGACAAAATATGATTTTAGTGGAAATTAGAAAGTAAGGTGTGAAGTGACGTGACACGTGGTACGAGACTCCACAGCGAGCCACGTAGGGGGAAGACAATTAAGGGAGGGTAGGAACTAGGAACAGTGGTTTCCGCGGTCGAGCCACGGTTTTACAAATTTGATAGGCTCTGGGCTATCTTGTGGAACCCATCTTTCTGTTTTTGGGTTTTTTTTGGCTGTCGTGCGGACTTGTTAATTTCGGCTTGTTGAATTGGTTGTTACGGTTTTATACACTATTTTAGGAAACTTTTTTTTTCAAGTAACATTCTTTAATGGACTGGAATTTTGTAGCTTTTTGTTGCTAAAGTGTAAGTATTAAAGTATGTAATGTAACTCACAGGAGATATGAATAGATAAACTAATGCTGTGGCATATATACAAATATCATCTACATTCTTGTGCGTGTCTGAGAACAAAAAAAAATCATCCACGTGTAATGAGTATGTCCACATATTTTGGCTTGAAAGCAACTATTTGACGTTTAGCATCTTCTTTAATTACTTTTTGTAATATTTGACTTTAATTTATGTGAAAGCAAAGATGTAGAAAACGATTTTTTTTTTTTGTATTGAATTATTTACAATCGTTTCTCTTACTACAAAAAAAAAACCGAAGGATCCATTCTTAAAAAGGAGCTATAATCTTTTCAAACAATAGTACAAAAATGGAAACGAATATCGAATTTTAAAAACTCCACAACGACACGTCACCATCTCCCTCGCCGTCGTAATTACGATTCCATTGAACGGACGGCGGCGGCAAAAGCATGCCTTCGGCCATATTATCCAACAAACTCGGCATCCCAATCATCGTCTCCTCATCCATATAAAACGCATCTTCACTCTGTTCCGGCGTATAAATAGCGTCCACCATCGTCTCCTCCATGTCCAGGCCATGATCATTGGTCGTATCACACCTCTCATCTTGGAAAGCCAACGCAGCTTCAGCCGCAGCTTTCTGGATATCTTTGGCGCAGGTTGATTCCGGGATTCGTAGCCGCCAAGCCGAGTCAGCGAAATTAAGACAGGCGGATCGGCCGCGGAGGGCTAATGCGGCGACATCGTGAGCACGAGCTGCCATCTCGGCGGTTTGGAAAGTTCCGAGCCAAATCCTCGACTTCTTGTTTGGCTCTCTCACTTCACACACCCACTTACCGGAGTTTCTCTGACGAACTCCTCTGTAAATTGGGTGACGAGTTTCGCGAAACTTCTTTCGACCCGCCGGTTTTTTGGGACAGCTAGTCGCCAACTTCGGACAATAATCTCCGCCTGAAGAAACTTGAGACTCGTAATCGGACGCAGAAAATGAGCTCATTGATCAAAAACTCTTTTTGAAGAAACTGGATAAGGTTTAAGCTTGTACGTAGTTACTAGAGTTCGCAGTCTTTTTGGATTAATAAAAGATAGTATCTGTTTTTGTAAAGCTATTTATATCTCTCTCTTTCTTTTTTTTTCTTTTCAGGTAAATTCTTTTTCGAGTGTGTAGTTAGGATAAAACTGAGAGTGAGAATTGGTGTTTATATTGGCCGGAGGAGAGATTAAATTGGAGTTTTTGTCTCGTGAATGACACGTGGATAGTAGTATAGTACACAGCTAAGCGATCCCACGGAATTGTACTATCACCCACTCGATGTCTGACATCTATTGTGTAAGTATGTGGCTGCTGTTGTTACAATCGTTAATTCATTATTAAATTCTATGAATAAACAATTTGTCATTAATTGTCTCCCGTCTATTACAGAATAAACATAAAATATCTCTGTGAAATGATATTTTATGTGCCTTTGTGTGTTTCTTCCATTGACATGTTGTGCACTGCAAATACTCATGTAGTATGAGTTTAGTGGAAGTAGATGTCCTGATATTTTATGTGCCTTTGTGTGTTTCTTCCATTGACATGTTGTGCACTGCAAATACTCATGTAGTATGAGTGAGTTTAGTGGAAGTAGATGTCCTGATATCTAACCCAAAATAATTAGAAATATAAAAGCTTGATTGTAAAATGAAATTATCAAATTTGGTAATGCATATGTAACACCTCGTACCCAGAAATGTAATATTTTGACTGACGGTTGAAAATGAGTCATATATATAAGCAGTTAATCGTAAAGCGAGTCTTTCTTTCGACGCTAGTCAGTGGATAAAAGAGTACTCATAAAAATAATATTTCCTTTGAAATATGCTTATATGAAAATTAGTCATACAAACATATTATGACGCTAGCTAGAAGAGATTGGTTGAATAGTGGAGAATGAACGTTCCAGCAGATTGTGTTCTTTGTTGCTCTCGATTGGACACTCATTCTCACTTAATTTTTAAATCTATTTGGAATATCTAAGCAAAACGAGTATCAAAAAATCCACATCTTTCGCTTTCATAGGCTGCTTCTTGGGTCATGACTTTTTGCTCATCTACGACTGACTATGCATGCACAATCCTAAAGCTTTTACTGCAAACCTCAATTTAATTATATGATTTGGGAAGAAGAGAATAAAATAATTTTTTTTTGGTCATCTGAGATTATATTAGAATCCACAAAGGGATTTAAAGATGTTACAACGATACAGTCACCCAAAGGACTGAGACAAAAAACCTACACTAGCACCACCTCCAACAAAGACAAGAGGAGAGGCCTATACAAAAAATGAGCACCAAGGAAGGGATACACCACCAGCTTTTTGAAAAAAGCTCTCACAATCTATTTTTTGTTGATCGCATTATTCACAACAGATTAATATATATACTGTTTTTTGAAGGATCCGCTAGGCACTATTTCTCTATTTGGTTTTTACTTTGATTGTATTAGTCACTCAGTATAAAAGTGGCAATAGCTCTTTTTTTAGAAAAATGTTTCATTTAGTCTCTCATAACAAAAGCTAAAGTTTTTTTTAATTCTATTGTGAATTGTAAAATTTTTATTTGGTATAAATTTTAACATCTAAACTTAAAAAATAAAAATTGTAAAGCGGTCTCGGCAAACAAAAAAACTTACGAATTCAATTTGAGTTTAAGGAAAAACCTATGCAATTGACTGCATTAAAAATGCGCGAATAATTCTACAAAATATCTCAATCTCAATAATAGCTATATTGACAAAAAAAAAAAAGAAGCTAGAAAAGATCTTCACAATAAGATATGCATGAAATATATTCGTTTACAAAAACGTCTCTGTCGCCACCTCTCACTCTCACGTTATTGACATGTTAGGAGAAATAAGAGAGCAAAGAATGGAAAAAAAGAGTGGTAAGGTGAAGAAAACAACAAAATTGGCTTTAGTGGAAAATAGAAAGTAAAGCTTGAGAGTGACGAATGGGGCCAGTGAGAAGAGGGGGACGGTTTCCGCGGTCGAGCTACGGGGTTTAGGATTTTGACTGGCCCACCTGCTATCTTGTGGAACCCATCTTTCTGTTTTTGGAAAACCGTACGGACACTATTGTTTAGTTTTGCTGAATCGGTTGTTTCTGTTTTCGGGATTTTTTTAAAGACATTCTTGAGTGGATTGGACTGGATCTTTTGTAGCTAGATTTGAGACGCCAATATTTTATAGCTTTTTGTTTCTAATTCACCCACGCGAGATAGAAAATAATTGAGGTTTTGTGACATACTATATGAAAAGTCGAAACTCGTTCTCATTCCACGTGTGATATGATATTTTTGTGGCCACATATTCTGCATTGAAAGCAACTAAACTTTTAACATAAGTGAAGCAATGAAGAGGAAACCGATTTCTTTCTAACAATTAAATAGATATACATAAGCTTCACTTCTTAACAACAACATTTAAACTTCCGAAAAACCTAAAATGCTTCTTCAAATCGAAATCTTGAAATGAGGGAATCTTGAAAGTGTTGTTAAGTTGCAAAACTTTTTAAAACCTTGTAGTATATTCATTATGTATATATGTGATACATGTTCTAGTTCTATTAATTAATAGTATATTCTAATCTCTAATCAAAACATATAATTAAATCTAATATTTTTTTCTTCATAATATATTATTGCTTTTTTTTTTTCTTTAAATAGCTTCAATTTTGTTTTACTTGTTAGTTGTTTAGCTATATAAATATTATGTTGGGCCTTTGATGAATTGTTTTAACAGATTGGCCCAATACTCCACTTAGCTAAAAATTAGATTTTATTCTTCTTTATCGTCCTTCAGACAATAAGAAAGTCAAAATTGTGTTCTGAGGAAAATATATTTGAAACTAAAAAGAAAGAAAAAAAAAAAAAAATCCAAATTATCTCTTTACCTATCTCTCGAAGCGAGCTTGTTCTAGGGCTTCCACGCGACTACGACTGCGAAATAAATCATTCTACAGGTAAAAATAGCTCTTTGATTCTCGATATCGTGGATCTGAGCTCTTTTTCTTTTTGCTGGTGGAAAACTAGTAGAACAAGAGAATTGGTTGATCTCGTTTTTTTTCTTATAAGTTGAATCTCATCAGAGCCTCTTTGTTTTGTTGTTTTCTGGTAAAAGATTCATGCTTTCGTGGTTTGTTCTGGTTTGCTTTTCCCTTGTGAATAATTTTAGATCTGACTGCAATTAGATTAGATCTGATGCATTAAACTTTGACTCTGCTAACTTTTTGATTCTAATACTTTGTATGTAGTCTAATTCCTGTATTATACGGCTTTTGGAGCTCGAATAGATGAGTTTGAAGTCTTATATTACTGATGAATTGAGCTAAACTATTCGATTTAGTGTGATGGCTAGTATATAGTGTTCATTTTGGTGACAAACTTCTTGTGATAATCGTGTTTAAATTGTCTCTCTTAAATCTTTTTTTGTACTATGGTGGTGTCTATGCAGGAAGCATGAAGCCAGTCTTCTGTGGAAATTTTGAGTATGATGCGCGTGAGGGTGATCTCGAACGACTTTTCAGGAAATATGGCAAGGTTGAGAGGGTTGATATGAAAGCTGGTAAGCCTTTTCTTTCTTTCTTTCTTCTGCCTTTTACCTATTCTATCTTTGTGGTTAACCTCGATGGATAAGCAGTATTGTAAACCGCTAAGTGCAATGAAAAAGTGAAATTCAAATGCATTTCACGAAATCCACTTCCGTGTTCTTCCCATCCACGAGAAGGCTCTGGTGGACTTTCTCCTTTTGGAAGGAAGTACTAAACTTAGACCACATTCACCTGATGCAAGACCACATCCACCTGGCCACGTTTGAAGTTTGGAAAGTACTTCAGAAGAAAAACTTTAGAAAAAAAAGATTACTGTAAAACCGCATTTTCTTTGGCGCAGGATGTGATTGATAATCTTGGGATGCCTATACTCCCACCAGGCCATGAATGGACCATAGAGAAATCCATCTCCTTATCTCCCAAATTGAGTCACTTTCCATCCGCAATAGCACTGCCATCTTAATTGCATTTCATTCCTCATCACTTTACACACTTGGACATGCCTCTGCAATGGAGAAGACACTCTGTTTTCATTCACATCCCGTCTGACTTCCACATTTTTCAGTTGTTCCTTGACATATTAATTCCATAATGCAAGGTCTGTAACTGCTTCACTGGTCATTTGGTTTGCAGAGTTTTTTTAAGGTTCTAGGAATGTTCAAAATTTAATTTGTTCTAGGAGGTAAGTTAAGCTATTTGATGCTGCTGAAGGAGGGAGTACAGTGTTCGTGTTCGCTGAAGGTTTTTAACCGGGTTCACTTCCTCACTGTTAATGTACTCAGTCCTTTGCTTTTGGCTTTTTTTTTTTCTCCAGGGTTTGCTTTTGTGTACATGGAAGATGAAAGGGATGCTGAAGATGCCATCCGAGCGCTTGACCGCATTGAATTTGGGCGCAAGGGACGCAGACTTCGTGTTGAATGGACTAAGGTAGGATACTTACCTCAGTATTTATTTCTTTCCAGACTTAATCATGAGGGTTTGAAATACTGATAACATTAATGGGTCTGTGTATAGAGTGAACGTGGAGGTGATAGAAGATCTGGTGGTGGTTCAAGGAGATCCTCATCCAGCATGAGACCTTCCAAGACTCTCTTTGTGATTAACTTTGATGCGGATAATACTAGGACCCGGGATCTAGAGAGACACTTTGAGCCGTATGGAAAGATCGTAAACGTTAGGATCCGGAGGAATTTCGCATTTATCCAATATGAGGCACAAGAGGATGCCACAAGAGCACTGGACGCTACAAATAACAGGTATGTTCCTGTCCAAACATTATCTAATTGCTTTCCTTTCTTAGACTCACGTTTCGATTGTGTTTTCATTCAGTAAGCTGATGGATAAGGTGATCTCGGTGGAGTATGCGGTGAAGGATGATGATGCTAGAGGGAATGGACACAGTCCTGAAAGACGCCGTGATAGGTCACCTGAAAGGAGAAGGCGGTCACCTAGTCCTTACAAAAGAGAAAGAGGAAGCCCTGATTATGGCCGAGGTGGTAGTCCTGTTGCTGCCTACAGAAAGGAAAAAACCAGTCCTGACTATGGTCGAAGACGTAGCCCAAGTCCTTACAAGAAATCAAGGCGTGGCAGTCCCGAGTACGGCCGCGACCGCGACCGCAGAGGTAATGATAGCCCTCGCAGGAGGGAGAGAGTCGCAAGCCCTACTAAGTACAGCCGCAGTCCCAACAACAAGAGAGAGAGGATGAGCCCTAATCACAGCCCGTTGAAGAAGGAAAGTCCGAGAAATGGGGTTGGTGAAGTTGATAGTCCCATTGAAAGGAGGGAGAGATCAAGGTCTAGCCCGGAGAATGGCCAAGTTGAAAGCCCTGGCTCAATAGGAAGAAGAGACAGCGATGGTGGTTATGATGGTGCAGAGAGCCCAATGCAGAAGAGGTTAGATGGTGACGTAGTTTGATGCTTGTATATATATAATACGATGATATTATGAATGTAACCATTTTTCTTGTTGTTGCAGCCGGTCTCGTTCGCCAGCAGCTGACGAGTGATGAAAGTGGATCCACAAACTTCATCAGAGTAGGATGTTGTAACTGTTTGTAGTCAACACTATGTCGTTTGCTTAAAAGCTTTTTGATAGATTCGAACTCGGATCACTTTTATTGTCGGATTGAAAAACTTGGTCTGTGTGTCAAGATACTGCATTTTCGGTTTTAATCATCTCAGTTTGAAGTTTGAACCCCAATCATGAAATAGAAGACATCGTTATTATAAACACATGAAGGCGAAAGTAGAAATATAATACTTACCAATTGGGACTTGTATACTGGTTTCTTCTCTTTCACTTGCTCTGTTTCTCTTTACTAAATGGGGATAGAGTTCTTAACCTGCAAAGAACACACATAACAAACGTAATGAGCCCAAGTCAAAGTATGGAGACGATGATTTACCTGCAATTTCCTTTGCAACTTAACATATCCATCAGACCATCACTCACAATCCCATTTAACTGAAGCACCTCGTTCATCAAGCAGTGACAAAGGTCTTGCTCCAAAACCTTCCCGCCGATGGTAATAATAACCGTCGATATGTAACTCCTAGAGTATGTCGAAATTATGCAAGGCACGGTCTAAAAACTCCTCTAATGCCTCTTGTCAACGTTCGGACTTGTCCAAGTCCCAATCTTTTTTTTTAACTCAAAAGACTATTCCCAAAGCTGATTTTTTTTTGGCATAAAATGTTTTGACTAAATATTAAATTTTGGTCAACAAAAGAAATATATCTTTTTTTTTTTTTTTTCCTTCAAAGAAATATATCTCTTCGTTTTTATGTTTCAGGGTTTTGCCGATATTGGTCGTCTGCTTTTAATATAGATTTTTCTTCTAAAAAATGATGTTGTAAAGGTTTAATCTTGTTTAAGTCCCTCACTGCTACTGGGTTTCTTCAAATTTCTGATTTTTGGGGTTTGTGCAAGTCCAAGTCTACTTGGTTGAAAGTTGCTGGGTTTTGATTTGAGTTGCGGATTGGATTTGAAGTTTGTTTGTATGTAAGTTATACCCTTTGAGATAGAGGAGATTTCTACAAATTTGCTTGTCTGATAATTTAGGGCTTTCGAGTGTTATCAAGAATTCGCCTTTCTGTCTTCTTTGTTGCATCGAGGAACTACTTGCTTCTAGTTTCTAGGCTTACCCGTCTCGGATTCGTTTCCTTCAGATTTTGACCATTGGGGTGCTCAGGCTTTGAAAGCCAGCTAAATCTTGGTAATTCTCGGATCCTGAACTCAGTTTGACTGGTGAAATTAGAGCATAGGCACTAGGATCCGTTTGCCTTCTTGTTATTGGCTCAGATTCTGAGAGGACGGTTTCAAAGTTTCAAGCTTTTCATTCCTCTGACTACGTCCTTGTTTTTGGGACGCCATGCTCTGTGTCTGCTCTCCTGGGGCATGAACAGAAGCAGCGGTCGAATCGAGTTGCTCATTGAGTGATGCTCTTGGTCCGGAAGCTCTAAATATGCACAGGAGCAGTTGCATCAATAATAATATGCGTATCCCAACATCACCAATGTCTTTCTCCTCGAATAGCGGTAACATGCCTGGTTCATTAGTTCTTGATGGCTCTGCTTCAATGCAACACTTACCTCAGCAGCAGCAACAACTACAACAACAGCAAGCAGGCCAAGGTTCAGTTCCAATGAGGGAAAACAATTATTCCCATGTGGATAAGAAACCCAGATTAGAAGTGAAGCACGAAGACTTGTTGCAGCAGCAGATTTTACAGCAGTTGATCCACCGCCAGGACCCCACGGGAAGGAATCCTCAGTTACAAGCTTTGCTTCAGCAGCAGAGACTCAGGCAACATCAGCAGATTCTTCAATCCATGTCACCCTCTCAGAGGCTCCAACTTCAGCAACAGCAGCAGCAGTTGAGACAGCAATTACAGCAACAAGGAACTCAACAGATTCCTCCTAATGTACGTCCTTATGAAGTTGGCGTCTGTGCTCGGAAATTGATGATGTACTTGTATCATCTGCAGCAACGACCTGCTGTAAGCTAATACCAGCCTGTATTAGTTATTTCATCACATCTATTCAAGCTCTCACATCGAAGATACCTCTTTGTAGGAAAATTGCATTACCTATTGGAGGAAATTTGTGGCAGAATACTTCTCACCTCGTGCAAAGCAAAGGTTGTGCTTGTCACAGTACGAAAGTGCTGGGCACCATGCGCTTGGCATGTTTCCACAGGCAGCTCCGGTCAGTATCGTCTTTGCTCTGTGTGTTTTAGTCTTATATGATATCGGTGTATCTTTAGCCATACTGTACGATTTATAAAATTCACTATACTGATTTTTTAATCAATAGGTCCATTATCTTCTCATTTTGTTTGCAGGATATGTGGCAGTGTGATCTTTGCGGCACCAAGTCTGGAAAAGGATTTGGTAAGAGAGTCCAAATTTCTCATCCTTGTGTGTACTTGTATTTCTGTGCCTTCAGTTAACTTCCATATGCTAATTACTCTCTTTTATTGTATTAAAAAACTCTTAGCTAAACTGTCATCTTTTCATTCCGCAGAAGCAACTTTCGATGTGCTTGCCAGACTTATTGAAATCAAATTTGCAAGTGGCATCATTGATGAGCTCTTATATCTGGATCACCCACGAGAAAACAGATTTCCCAATGGACTGATGATGTTAGAATATAGAAAAGCAGTTCAGGAAACTGTACACGAGCAGTTCCGTGTTGTCCGTGAAGGCCATCTTCGCATCATATTCTCTCAAGATCTGAAGGTATCTAGAACAATTCATTAGTTAATATTATGACTTTTTTTTTTCATTTTCCTTTTGTCCTTCTTATTCAAAGAAAAAAAAGCAATCACCAATGTGCTAATACTTAGCTAATCTTAACTCTGCTTTTTTCTAGATACTGTCTTGGGAGTTTTGTGTTCGGCGTCATGAAGAGCTTCTTCTTCGCAGACTTATTGCTCCGCAGGTCCTATTCTAATGGCATAAGACTTTACAAAAACGTTTGTGGTCAACTGTATAACTCTGTTTCCTTAAATCCTTATGAAATTGATGATAGCTAATAATACCCTGCCTAAACATTTTGTATAAGTGTTTAACTTGGTTTCCTATGAATTAGAGCACAAATTCTGTAATTTTACTTCAGAACAGACATGCTGCAATGGTGTTGGGGAAGTGTATAGAAAACTTATTATTGGTCATGCAGGTGAACCAGTTACTTCAGGTTGCACAGAAATGCCAGAGCACGATTTCAGAGAGTGGTTCAGAGGGAGTTTCTCAGCAGGATTTGCAGTCAAACAGTAATATGTTAGTTGATCCTTAACACTTAATTTACCTTTCTACATCCATGTTATGGCATTTGATAAAATATACATACTATTCTTTTATTGTCCATGTTTTGGCATTGTTTCTAGTGCTCTATATAATTTCCGGTGCTAATTTTGTGTGTCAGGGTCTTGGGAGCAGGACGGCAGCTGGCAAAGTTCATGGAATTACAGTCTCTGAATGATCTTGGCTATCCAAAAAGATATATCAGAACTCTACAGGTACTCATTAGCTCCTTTACTCGCTATTACCTTTGTATCTGTAGTCTTAAGAAGTCCTAATAGTATAACTCATTACGAGTGACAGATATCTGAAGTTGTCAAGAGCATGAAGGATCTGATGAATTTCAGTGGCGAGAACAAAATCGGCCCTATCGGTAAGTCTAGAATTCCCATCTACAACATTCTTCTTGAATGGGACCCAAAACGAGGTTGCCCCTCTGGTGTAGGATTTCTGTAACTCTTCGGTTTAAAGGCTCTGTTTTTATCTGGTTATTGAGTTTCTGACTGAATGTTAACATTTTTAAGCCTGCTTATGTCCCTTATACAGAGGGGTTAAAACAGCTTCTGGAACAGACAGCGACAGTGAAGCTCCAGAGACAGAAAATGCTAGAGATGGAGCAGTTTGGGAATAGTGGAGCTATGAGTGGGCCAGCTCAAGCTCAAATGGCGTTATCTTCAGGCACGATGAGCGGTGCAACTGCCAACAGCAACCCCAGTAATCGAAATCAAATTGTTGGTCATGGAGCTATGAATGGCTCAGCTCAAGCCGCAGCAGCTCTGACCAACTACCAAAGCATGCTTATGAGGCAAAATGTTATGAATCACCCAAATTCAAATACGGGAAAACAAGAGGAGTTCTCGAGTCAGAACCAAACCCCGATTTCAAACCAGAGTCCATCTTCTTCGTCAGATCAGAGGCAGAACTTAGCTACAGGTGGATTGTCCAGTTCTCTTCAAATGCAACAGCAGCAGCGCACCATGAATGGGGCTCCAAACATGCCTCCGCAGAATCATCCTCATCAGTTGCAATCACCACATTCACATGGTAACACTCGGGAGCAGCAGATGCTTCATCAGCTGTTGCAGGAGATATCTAAGAATGGAGCGAGTGTGCAACAGCAACAAGCCTTTTTGGGTCAAAGTGGTAGCAACAGTAACGCAGAGAGAAACACAACTGCCTCTACTTCCAACATCTCAGGAGGAGGCCGAGTTCCAAGCCGCAACAATAGTTTTAAAGCAGCCTCAGACAACAACCTTCCTTTTTCAGAAGATATATCGGACCATGATTTCTCAGAAGATGGCTTCTTCAACAACAGTGATATCTATGGTGGCTTGTAATATCCCCGACAGAACAGAGGCATTGTTACTTTGACTTAACACAGTGAAAGAGAATTTAGGGCTTATTTTTCTCATTTAGGTTGGTCTTTGTATAGAAACCAAAGAGATATGAGACCAAAGGAGTTTGTGATTTGTTGTAACCTACGTCTACCCATTGGCACTTTAGCTTCTTCTTCTTTTTCCCCTTTTAGTGATAGTGAGGTGAAATCTTAGATTTTGATTTCTGCTAACACACTATCAAGTAATCTTATTTCTTTTTTATGCTTTTACTTTGATAACAATCTGTTTATAGAAAGGAATTTTACATTATTAAATAGTAATACTTGTTTACATTTGCCCCCTTAAGCACCTTACTTGTATGTTTAGTTTTCTTGTATTAATTTATGTCACTTCTAACTTTCGATGTGGGATCATAACATGCCCTCTCAAATGATGGCTCTTATGGCCCATATCGAAAGTTAAAAGATAACTAAAATGCAAGAGATGGATCTTAATCCATTTCATCTCCACATAATTTCATCTTCATTCCTCAATACTCAACCACTTTCTGTTCATTTGCTGTGTTACTATTGTTCTTCTAATGGTCACCAGTCGAGACCATATTATTATTACTATTTGCAAACCGTGAAAGGGGTAACTCACGAATCCTTTCTATAAACAAACTGTTATCAAAGTCAAAGCATAAAAAAAGAATAAGATTACTTGAAAGTGTCTGCAGAATCATAATCTAAGATTTCTTCTTACTATCTCTAAAAGGGAAAAAAATGAAAATGCTAAAAGTTCCTATAAATAGGTTACAACAAATCACAAATTCCTTCATCGGCCGGCCTCACATCTCTTTGGTTTCTATACAAAGACCAACCTAAATGAGAAAAATAAGCCCTAAATTCACTTTCACTGTGTTAAGTCAAAGTAACAATGCCTCTGTTCTGTCGGGTATTACAAGCCACCATAGATATCGCTGTTGTTGAAGAAGCCATCTTCTGAGAAATCATGGTCTGTAATCGATATATCTTCTGAAAAATGAAGGTTGTTGTTTGAGGCTGCTTTAAAACTGTTGTTTCGGCTTGGAGCTCGGCCTCCTCCTGAGATGTTGGAAGTAGAGGCAGTTGCGTTTCTCTCAGCGTTACTGTTGCTACCACTTTGACCCGAAAAGGCTTGTTGCTGTTGCACACTCGCTCCATTTTCAGACATCTCCTGCAACAGCTGATGAAGCATCTGCTGCTCCGGAGTGTTACCATGTGAATGTGGTGATTGCAACTGATGAGGATGATTCTGCGGAAGTATGTTGGGAGGGCCATTCAAGGTGCGCTGCTGCTGTTGCATTTGAGGAGAGCTGGGAAATCCACCTGTAGCTAAGTTCTGCCTCTGATGGGATGAAGAAGATGGACTCTGGTTTGAGTTCGGGGTTGGGTTCTGACTCGAGAACCCCTCTTGTTTGCCTGTATTTGAGTTTGGGTTATTCATAGCATTTTGCCTCATAAGCATGCTTTGGTAGTTGGTCAGAGCTGCTGCGGCTTGAGCTGAGCCATTCATAGCTCCACGACCAACAATTTGATGGTGATTATTGGAGTTGTTGTTGGCAGTTGAACCGCTCATCGTACCTGAAGATAACGCCATTTGAGCTTGAGCTGGCCCACTCATAGGTCCACGACCAACAATTTGATGGTTATTATTGGTGTTGTTGCCAGTTGAGCCATTCACTGTTCCTGAAGTTAAAGCCATTTGAGCTTGAGCTGGCCCATTCATAGATTCGCTATTCCCAAACTGCTCCATCTCTTGCATTTTCTGTCTCTGGAGCTTCACTGTCACTGTCTGTTCCAAAAGCCGTTTCAACCCTTCTGCATAAATGACATAAGCAGGCATAATAACATTCACATTCAGTCAGAAAATCATACAGAACATCTTCACCCGGAGAATTACAACTTACAACAACCATTACATATTTCAAGTGAAAAGATACAGCAGAGGGGAAACCTGGTTTTGGATCTCATTTAAGAAGCATATTGTGGATGGAAATTGTAGACTTACCAATAGGACCGATTTTGTGCTCGCCAGTGAAATTCATCAGATCCTTCATGCTCTTGACAACTTCAGATATCTGTCACTCGTAATGATTAATACTATTAGGACTTCTTAAGACTACAGATACAAAGGTAACAGCTAGGAAAGGAGCTAATGAGTACCTGTAGAGTTCTGATATATCTTTTTGGATAGCCAAGATCATTCAGCGACTGTAATTCCATGAACTTTGCCAGTTGCCGTCCAGCTCCCAAGACCCTGATACACAAATTAGCACCCAGCAACGATATAGATTAAAGCGCATTAAAAACAAATGCCAGAGCATCAACAGTAAAAGAATAATCTGCATCCACATATTGGATGTAAAAAGGAAAATGAAGTATTAAGGATCAACTTACATGTTACTGTTTGACTGTAAATCCTGCTGAGAAACGCCCTCTGACCCACTCTCTGAGATCGTGCTCTGGCATTTCTGTGCAACCTGAAGTAACTGGTTCACCTGCATGACCAATAAATAAGATTTTAGTAAACTTCTTAACACAGTTGCAGCATCTGTAAACATCTGTTCTGAAGTAAAACTATAGACTTTGTGCTCTAATTCATAGGAAACAAGAAGAAACGCAATACGCAAAATGGTTAGGGAAACCGGGTATTAGCTATCCTCAATTCTATAACAAGGGTTTAAGGAAACAAAGCCATACAGTTGACCACAAACGTTTTTTTTGTAAAGTCTTAAGTTCCTAATTATAAACGCAAGGGTCATGCCATAAGAATAGGACCTGCGGAGCAATAAGTCTGCGAAGAAGAAGCTCTTCATGACGCCGAGCACAAAACTCCCAAGACAGTATCTAGAAAGAAGAAAAGTGAAGATTAACTAAGCATTAGCACACTGGTGGCTGATTTTTTTCTTTGCTTCTCATAATTTTGAACCAGAGAATTGTTCTAGATACCTTCAAATCTTGAGAGAATATAATACGAAGATGGCCTTCACGGACAACACGGAACTGCTCGTGTACAGTTTCCTGAACTGCTTTTCTATATTCTAACATCATCAGTCCATTGGGAAATCTGTTTTCTCGAGGGTGATCCAGATATAAAAGCTCATCAATAATACCACTTGCAAATTTGATTTCAATAAGTCTGGCAAGCACATCAAACGTTGCCTCTGCGGATTAACATGAGAAGTGACAATTAGCAACTATTTTGACATAATAGTTTTAAAACAATTATCAAAGTTTTAAATAATAAACAAAGAGCAATTAGCATGTGTACATTGTGCTCAAGTGAAGGCACAGAAATACAAGTACACAAAAGAATGAAATTTGCAACTCTCTTACCAAATCCCTTTCCAGACTTGGTGCCGCAAAGATCACACTGCCACATATCCTGCAAACACAATGAGAAGATGATGGACATACCAGTTAAAAAATCAGTGTAGTGTAATTCATAAATAGTACAGGTGGAGTAAACATGTGTATGGCTAAAGCAACGCTAATGCAGAACACCGATATCATAACAGATCAAAACACAGAGCAAAGACGATACTGACCGGAGCTGCCTGCGGAAACATGCCAAGTGCATGGTGCCCAGCACTTTCGTACTGTGACAAGCACAACCTTTGCTTTGCCCGAGGTGAGAAGTATTCTGCGACAAATTTCCTCCAATAGGTAATGCAATTTTCCTACAAAGAGGTATCATCAATGTGAGAACTTGAATAGATGTGATGAAAAAACAAAAAGTCCAGAGGTTATTATTAGCTTACAGCAGGTCGTTGCTGCAGATGATACAAGTACATCATCAATTTCCGAGCACAGACGCCAACTTCATAAGGACGTACATTAGGAGGAATCTGTTGGGTTCCTTGTTGTTGTAATTGCTGTCTCAACTGCTGCTGTTGCTGAAGTTGGAGTCTCTGAGAGGGTGACATAGATTGAAGCATCTGCTGATGTTGCCTGAGTCTCTGCTGCTGAAGCAAAGCTTGGAACTGAGGATTCCTCCCCGTGGGATCCTGACGCTGGATCAACTGCTGTAAAATCTGCTGCTGCAACATATCCTCTTGCTTCACTTCTAATCTGGGTTTCTTATCCACATGGGAATAATTGTTCTCCCTAATTGGAACTGAACCTTGTCCTGCTTGCTGTTGTAGTAGTTGCTGCTGCTGCTGATGAGGTAAGTGTTGCATTGAAGCAGACCCATCAAGAACCAATGAACCAGGCATGTTACCGCTGTTCGAGGAGAAAGGCATCGGTGATGTTGGGATACGCATATTATTATTGATGCCACTGCTCCTCTGCATATTTAGGGCTTCCGTACCAAGAGCATCAGTCAATGAGAAACTGGATTCGACAGCTCCTGAGACCGCCGTTCTGTTCATGCCCCCGCAAATACAGATCAAGCCGTTTAAATACAAGGACGGATTCAGAGGAAGTAATGAAAAGCTTGAAACTTTAAACCGTCCTCTCAGAATCTAACTAAGGCCAAACGGATCCTAAGCGGCTATGGTATACTAAGATAGTTAATCATTCAGGATCCAAGAATTAGCAGATTTTCAAAGCCTGAACGAGATGAAAAATCAAATCAGCGACTTAGATATACAAATCAGAGACTAGTAGTAAACCAATAATCAAAAGCCCTAAATATCAGAAGAGCAAATTCAACATCACAAAAGGATACAACTTACCAAACAAGACTAAAACTTTAAATCCAATCGGCAGCTCAAATCAAAACACAGAAAGTGTCAAAGGAATCGACTTGGGAGTTGCACAAATCCCTAAAATCAGAAACCCAGTTGAGAGGGAATTAACACTTTACAGCAGCATTCAGGGAAGAAGAAATATCGGCAAAACCTGGAAAATATGATAAAAGAAATAAAGAGATTTTTATTTTTGAGTTCACAAATATTTTACGCAAACATAACAAAATCTATTTTCTCAAGCCCATAAAAAAAGTATACAGTAGTACAATAGTCAAAAACTAGGGACAGTAACAAAATACTAAACCTGAAATTGATAAGAAGTTTGGAAAAATGGAAGAAAAAAACAATCACAAATTATGACCTAGTTGAAGAAAAAAATTCTGATTTTTTTTAATTATAGTATAAAATAGCTCAAAATCTTTGACCAAAAAAACTACATATAGTAGAACCGGTAATAACCGACTATACCGGTCAACTAGCTCTAAGCGTCACCGACCTCGTGGATCAAACGACACCGACACGTGCTGATGTCTTAGTAGATCTTATGGTAAGGGTGGGTCCTTACTTACGTGGCATTATATGAATCGTTCGATCAGATTCAAATCTGCTACCACAAAGAGATAGTGGTAACAAGGATGAGAGGATACACAATTTTCATTGAGTTTTTGAAAATATTGCAATGATTTTCTCCAATGGTAAAATTCTAAATACATAATAAAATTATGTTCGGTCAATGAATTAGTGAAGCATAAGAAGAAATTGGGATAAAACTTTTATTCATTTGTTATATATATGCAATTTATATAACCTATATCGAGATAAATTTTAATATCTACTCTCAAACTAGAGTATTGTCACAAAACAAGTACGTTCGTAGTTCCTTCTACAAAAAAAAAAAACTAGACTATTGTCATCAATGTAAAATTTGTCCACCACACAACATGCATCCGTTAGGTCCCAATGATCAAAAGTATAGTAGTAAAAACATAAGACATTTTGTCGACATTTTCTTCGTCAGGCTCTCAGCTACTTCGAACTTTACTCTGCACATGCTTTACATCAGCTGTTTCCTAAAACTAAAATTACAAAGTATTAAAGGTCTTGTATTAATTTCATAGCACAACAAAAGGAACAAAATACAATTTTAAATTCTTCAGTTGGTCATCTACAAAAATAAATCTAGAGTTAAAACTTCAACGCAAAGACGTTATCTAAGAGAGAAAGTTTATCAATGTTAAAAAAAAAAAAAAAAGTCTATCAATGTTTCCAGTTTAAGTGTGTGACTGTGACCTGTCATTGTTTCCTTAGTCGTTGTTTATTAATAATTAATGTAATAAAACAAATAAATGTAGTTAAAGTTTATTATTGCTGAATAAATTTAGTTAACAATTTTGCTTCTCTGATTTTCGATATATCGGGAAAGGGTCATTATATATTTCAATAAGCATATAGATTATCAGTGAGTAATATATATTAAACTTATTTTTTTGATCAATAAATTTTCGTTTTTTCTGCCATTTCATATTATTATAACTATCATTTACGATATATATCATATCAAAAAATGTGAGTTACACACAATTTTTCTAAAACAGAACTATATCTAGATTTTTATTTATTTTATATTGGATCTTTTAAAAAAAGAAAAAAATGGGATGGATGATGATTGGTACTTATAAGATTGTAAAAGGATATTTTTAGATAAATCATTTAATTATCTTTCTTACCATTACAAAGCCATTAATAAAGATTAAGATATCACACAATAAGTAAAGAGCCCGTGTGCTTTAGCACGTCCCATGCAGCTGATTTTGCCTTCGCGTTTCTCTTCCTCATCTGCGATTCTAATAAGACAAAACAACAAGAAACAATTTAAACCAAAAACAAAACAAAAAAAAAACTAGTAAAAGTCCTGATTTTGTTTCACAGGTACATACACTTTTTGAACATTGATCTGTTGTAAGAAAGAAAAATCATTTGAAGGTTCCGATCATATACCCAAAGAATCGTTAATTCCATGCTTTTTAAAACAAAATTGTTTTATCACTTTAGATTTTTATATTTTCAGCGTTTACCAAATTTACACCGTACCCTTTTTTCTCGATGTAGTTAATCTATGTTCTTATGTCATGTAATAAGATCACTCACTGTTTGAAAACATAAGTATTTACGTAATCTTTTGCCCAAAAAAAAAAAAAAAAAAAAAGTATTTACGTAATCTAAATAAAACTGGGCCATCCACATGGTTCCAGCTTTTTTTTTCATATGAACTCATAAAAGAAGAGTTAAATTTCATTTTATTAAATTTAGTGAGGAATCAAGTGTATTTAGTGTTTACTTGTTTAAGGTATTTATATTTTGTTTTGTTTTTCATTTGTTATGATTATACACTTATATCGAAGAGTTATGGGCCGAGGCCCGTTATGGACCGAGGCCCATACATCTTTTTATCGGGAATATATATATAATCACTATCTCATTCAACATTCACAGAAAAATCGGAAGCGCCGTCACTAGGGTTTTCACTTTTCGCCATTCGTCCAAACGGTATTTGGTTGTTTTAGATTGTGTTTATCTGAAAAATTAATATCACCTTTATGTTTTTCTTCTTACAATTTTGTCGATTTATAGGATACTGACAATCAGATTATTGTTGTTTTTTTCTAGGCCGAAAATCAGATCTTTTATATTTAGTTTAGAGGATGATTACGGTTTCTGATTGTCTGTTTTCCGTTTATGTATGGGGTGTTTATTTTGAAGAAATTGAGTTAACTATACAAGGGGTATCCCGAATTTTGGAGTCCTATTGTCTTGTTCCATGCTGATACACAAAAAATGACAATTTTAATTATGTTCCTCCAAAAAACTGTTTACTGATTCATTCTCTACTTGAATTTTATTTTGGTTGTATTTCATTTCCAGTTTACAAGCTACCGGATTTTTTTTATTAGTTTGCAGTTTGGATTGGCTTTGTCTCTTTTGAGTTATTGTAATTGTAAAAGTTTAGAATAAATAATCTTTAGCTGGTAATAAATCTTATCGTTGTTTTTTTTTGGGGGGCATAAATTTATGGATAAAATCTTTAAATTGTTTGGTGGTCAAAAGATTGTTTTTTTTTAATTCTCTTTTGTTTGGTGGTCAAAAAATTGTTTTTTTTATTCTCTTTTGTTTGGTGGTCAAAAGATTGTGCGTGTATTAATTGATTACACTCACTATACGGTCAGAGTGCTAAACCCCTAGCTATATCGAGTACTAACATTATGCAATGTCCAGGTTGTTGCATAGAGAGAAAATGAATGAACAAGGTGACGATTTTGATGCGGTTGGAAACATTCCAAATCCAAGCGGAGCTGAAAATGGTGAGGGTGATCATATGATTGATGCTACGTCTGGTAATAATGATCAAGATGGTGGAAGGATGAGGAGAAACCATAGACACACTGCTTATCAGATTCAAGAACTTGAAAAGTTTGTTTAGTTTCTTCTTTATTTCATCATGCATGCAACATTTCCTATTAATTTTTTGATTTTTGAGTTTGAAAAGTTTCTCTTTAATAACTTTGTTATGTTTTTTTTTTTCAAATGATTGTAGTTTCTACTTGGAAAATTCTCTTCCTACTGAGGATCAGAGGTACGAACTTGGACAAAGGCTTAATATGGAGCCTAAGCAAGTCAAGTTTTGGTTTCAAAATAAACGATGCCAGATGAAGGTACCAAAAAAAATACAAAAATGTATACATGTGGTTGTGTCTTTTCTTAGTCTTTGCACCATATTATGGACCATGTTTCTGCCCTATTTTAAATAAATATATAGTTGATCACCTCTCACTCATCCTCAAAATCTGCTTTGATTATGGTATAAAAATTGAGCCGAAAGTTGAGTTCTTTTTTTTTTTGTAAGCAGATCAATAGTGACCACCTTGAGAACATAACTCTTAGAGAAGACCATGACAGATTGCTAGTAACTCAGCATCAGCTTAGAAGCGCAATGCTACATAGTTTATGCAACATTTGTGGTAGGGCAACTCATTGCGGAGACATTGACTATGAGATCCAAATACTTATGGTTGAGAATGCTAAATTGGAGCGGGAGATAGACCAGTACTATTCCAAAATCCGTTCCCATCCCAATCAAATGCTGGTCAATCCATTCCAACCGGCGCCGCATTGTTCTTCCTCTAATCCAGGAATAAATGCAACACCAGAACTTGGTTTGGGTGGTGGAACTAGGGCGACTGAGAAGGAGAGATCAATGTTTTTGAATCTTGCCATTACGGCTTTGAAAGAGTTGATTGAGTTGGAAGCAAAGCACTGTCCATTTGGGAAGATAGATTCAGGAAGCTCTAAAGCAGTATCATTGATCTATGAGAAGTATGAAAATGCTTCCAACAATGTCATAAAACCTCCCGGGCATGTTGTGGAGGCTTCAAGAGACACAGGTTTAGTCCCCATGACTTGCTTGACTCTGGTCAAGACTTTTATGGACACGGTAATAACTTTTAACCATCACCCATTTTTTTTTTTTTTTTAACACAAATTATCACCCATTTTTTTGTGAAATGTTACATTAAATGTTAAAAAAAAATTTTGTTTTCACAGGGAAAATGGGTCAACGTGTTTGCACCTATTGTGCCTGTGGCATCAACCCGTAAAGTGATACCTACCGGTTCTGGTGGAACCAAAAGTGGCTCACTCCAACTGGTAATATTTGTTTCTGAGTCGTCTATATTGGTTGATAATCCAAGAGGAGTATAAACACCTAAAAATTTTAAAATTTGTGATCATATATATTGGCAGATTCAAGCAGAATTTCAAATAATTTCTCCGCTGGTACCAAAGAGACAAGTAACGTTTCTTAGATACTGCAAAGAGCTCAGACAAGGCTTCTGGGTGGTCGTCGACGTTACTCCTGATCAAAATCCGACTTTGCAGTCTGATGGTGGTTCTAATAGGCTACCCTCAGGCCTTTTCATAGAGGACATGGCCAATGGGTACTCCAAGGTTACTTCTGAATCCTATACTTCTAACCTCGGTTAAATTCTGGTCTCATGGTATAGCTTTATATAGCCTTCTAGCTCAATTTACATATGCTCTTGAGATTTAAACTCAAAACGTGTTATTACTCGCAATCATGATTGATGATCTATCAAAATCTTGTATTGTAGAGGCATAAATAAATAGTAAATGGTTATTTTTATACTCACGTAGAAGAACCGCATGTATAACACATAGAGATTTGATTTCACAGGTTACATGGATTGAACAAGCGGAATATAATGAGAGTCACATCCACCCACTCTACCAGCCTTTGATTGGCTCTGGGATCGGGCTAGGCGCAACGAGATGGCTGGCGACGCTGCAGAGACACTGCGACAGCATCTCGACCCTTTCGTCTACTAACTTAGCTGAAATTAGCCCAGGTAACTCTAGTTTTAAACACTCTACTGAATGTTGAAAATTGAAATAAATGACATTACAACTATTCGGTTCGCCAATATCTTTAGACCGGTCTTGATTGTGATATATGTTTTTGATATAGGATTGTCTGCAGAAGGTGCAGCTGAAGTAGTGAAGCTAGCACAGCGAATGACTCTCAACTACTACTCAGGTATCATGAGTTCTTCGGGGAACAAGTGGGAGAAAATCCAGGTAGAGAATGTGGCACCAAACTTGAGTTTCATGATCCGAAAGAACTTGAATGAGCCTGGTGAGTTTAGTGGGATTTTGCTGAGTGCAGCCACTTCTGTTTGGTTCCCAGTGAACCAGAAAGCACTTTTTGCTTTCCTTAGCAACCCAAGTTTCAGACACGAGTGGGATACCTTGATCCATAATACTACCATGGAAGAAACAATCCGGATTCAGAAAGCAAAACGCCATGGAAACATCATCTCTCTTCTTAAAGCCGTGAGTTTCCAAACAGAATCAGATTGAATGGGGTCGTTTTTGTCTATGTTTCCATTGATTTTTGTGAGTTTTGCAAAACAGGGGAATGGTATGCTAGTTCTGCAAGAGATTTGGAATGATGCATCGGGTGCAATGTTGGTGTATGCACCAGTGGAAACCAATTCAATTGAGTGGGTCAAGAGAGGTGGAGAATCAGATCATGTGCAGCTTCTTCCTTCGGGATTTTCGATAATGCCAGACGGAGTACCTGATCGTAAAGGAAAAAGCAAAACTGGTGGTGGTGGAGGATGTCTACTGACATTTGGAGTTCAGCTCTTGTTTAGCAGGAATCCAACTGCGGAACTCCCTCAAGGTTATGTCAAAACTGTTGAGGTTCTCATGGTTCACACTATTGGCAAGATCAAATCCGCGTTACGTAGACTAACATAAACATGGATCGGCTTCTCCAGTTTCTGTTTTTCGACATTGGCATGTGCCAATAGTTTGCTTTTCCAATCAAGACTCCTCCGGATTTAAGGTTTTATGTGTTTGTTGAACTGTTATTCTGTTTGCTGGGATACTCTTGTTTCCTTTCTTCTTTCTTTTTTCTCAAAGTCTCAGATTGTTACAAACCAGAATATTTTAAGACAGTTCAAATTTGTATTTGATCTTTCATCCTCGGATCTCTGGCTCAAACCATCATCATCAATCATTGGGTGATACGGTGTCTTTGGTTCGGTAATCTTCTACACAGTTCAAATTTATGGAGAAAAGATAAGTACTGCAAGATTACTATGTACTACAACACCGGATTAGAATCCGTCTCTCTAATTTGGTTTTCTTGTTATACTAATACACACATAAGTTAGTACGCAACGCACATGATCAAAACCTTGCAGTTGCTATAATGTTAAGAAGATTAAATCAAAGTGATCAAGTTGCTTTTAGTTTGATTTTTGCCGCAATCTTCCAAGCATGATTCAAAAACTCGAATGCTTTCCAAGGGTCCTCTTCAGAGAGAGCAAATTTCAGGTCTGCAAACAAATCACCTAGAGCCAAAATTGATTCTTCTGCGCCTGTCCAATCTCCAGGGGCACCATGTTCTTCATGTCCTTCTGCATCTGCCATGCGTGTATTTCTCTCTCTTGCACCTACCTCAGCTTCCAATTTTGCACCCATTGAAATGGCACTACGTATACATGATGGAGGTATCTACAGTCAAGTATACATGTGAAGTCAGCTTCATGGATTGGACCAACAATACCCAGTGACTCATGCGTTCATTGGGAGGGAGTATACCTGGGCAAGCTGAGCAACCTTAAAACCAAAGCTCCTGCTGCAAAGACCACGCACAAGTTTATATAGGTAGGTCACATCATCATGATCAAAACCGCTTTTATTCTTCTGCGATGTGAGATATGAGACATGGTATGTTCCAACAGAACCTGGGAATCCGTTACTGATCTCAGCTATTTCAGGGTAATGTGTGACAAAAAGAACTAAACATCTCTTTTCTGATAGGAGATGTTGTAATGTTGCATAGGCAATGGCTACACCGTCGTGTGTGCTAGTGCCTCTTCCAAGCTCATCTAATATAACAAGCGAATGAGAAGAGCAGGTTCTAATTATGTGTGACGCTTCACTTAATTCTTCTAGAAAGGTACTTCGGCCATGCTGGATACTGTCTGAAGCACCCATCCGAGTGAAAACACCATCAAGCACGTGCAGCTTAACGGATGAAGCTGGTACAAAGGAACCAACCTGGGAAACCAAAGGGACTAATTAGAATCATTTAGCATTAAACATATGTAAGAGAATTTGGTAAAGCATAAACGCTTATACTGTTAACGCTATGTTACCTGAGCCATTATAGAAATTAAAGCAACTTGACGGATATAACAGCTCTTTCCTCCCATGTTAGGTCCGGTGATAATTTGGCAATATTCCCCTTCTGCATGCAAACTTGTGTCGTTTGGGACAAAGTTATCTTGTAATAAAGTCTCCAATACCTTTGAAAACAAAATGATCGATACATTTCCATCTTAAATAGACAAAGAAAGAAAGAGAAAAGGAAGTGAAAGCAGGTGCATACAGGATGACGACCAGACTGTATGTTTATCTCAACTGGTTCACAGTCATCCACAAACACGGGACAGGCATACTTCTGCAGAGAAAAATTTGAAGACGAAGTTAAGAATGGCAAAGCAGTGACTACAAGCACATTTTTTGTAGTTTGTTCCTTCGACCTTGTTTCTAGATAGAGTTGCAAGGGAGTGCAAACAGTCCAGCGCAGCAAGAGCTTGAACGGCAGCCTTAAAATCTGTATAGTATCTACTGAAACTCTCTAGGAAACTATCCCACGAAGCTCGGTTCACAATGGCAAGATGTTCAGTTGCTAGAGCTAGCTCATCCAACCCAGCTACTATTTCTGGAGGATGATATCGTATAGTCTTTTTGGTGCTATTCACTTTCACCCAATTCATAGGGACCTTGGCATCCACGGGCAGCTGTACAAAGCCTTAGCTTCAGAACAGAAATAAAGGTCCACAACTTTCAAAGATATTATACATACAAATTGTATACTTGGTACAAAATAATATATTTGGTTCAATAGCTGTGAATAATATTTAACGGATATGTGCGAGAGTGAGAACAGTAACCACAAAAAGAAACCAACACAGGCTACCTTCTTGAAACTTATTCTCATCCTAAATATGATGATACTTTTTGGGTATCCATTTAGGTGCAATTTCGAAACGAATCAAGAAAGCTGCACTCTTGCGGTAAGAAAGCATCATCTCAAATATTACGAGTTTCTCGAGAGGGTACCTCTATCAAATGCGTGATCCCCGACACTTGAAGAAATTCCAAATTTCGAATTGCGAGCTTCTTGCGAAATGAAGATATCGAGGAATCCAGCTTTTCCTTGATGACTAAAACTGCTTGGCGAGCATCAGCAAGCTATGAATAGCAAATAACACAACTGAGTTATGGAATACAACATCGCCACTAAACAATTAATTCATGGAAAGCAAAACAAGATTAAAGATAAGAAGTTGTGTGATGCATAAAACATAACATTAAGAGAGACGTAGTAGATAGTATGAATTTCCAGACAAGATACAAACCTCAGGAAATTGGTCGCTGGAAGTGACTAGTATGTCGAGCAAATCTCCTCGAACAGCCCCTTCCTTGTTCAGGGCAGAGAGAAGTTTTGCGGCATTATCAACCACAGCAGGGGATGAAACAACAAATATCAATTTTTTCAAAAGAGAAGACTGCACAGTTGCGGATTGCATACTCCTCATTTCACAGTCTTGCTTTATGCCAAGCCGCTGAAATTGCTTCCCCGCAAGTAAAATAGCTTCCATAACTGCGATGAACTTTTCATCCAAAAAGTTAAGAGCCCTCAGGCCTCAGGTGAGAAGAAGAGGGTTAAAGCAAGAGCTATTAACAAAAACAAGCGTGGGAAGCAAAACTCGTGTAATACTTCAATACTTCCTGCTCTCCCATTATTTCTTTTTCCTAATCAAGGTAACTAAGAACTGGCATATTGAAGTGTATAGCTTTATATAGGACTATCTATAAAATGAAAATTATCGTCAGAAAAGAGGATAGGATACTGAGCAATATCTAATAGTTGCTGTTACTATAAAGCAAGTATTTCTTTGAGTAGATATCGCAAAGACACCAAAACATTGCTCTGTATTATTTGCCAACTCATTTCAGAGGGACATTTTAGACTTGGTTAGTCAACATACAAGGTGGCGATTTAAACTAATTCTGTGGACAAAATTATTACAGTATTGCACTATACGTGTTGAACTAACTTCAGTCAACACATGCACATATATAAGAGGGCAAAGGACAGGCCAAATTTCACCTCTGTGGCTTTAGCAGTCCGATGAAAGATTCTTGTTATTCCACGTTGAATATCCGAGGATCTAGACAAAGCTGTCAAGACTGAGGAGAGCACGAGATAAAATTCAGGTGAAACAATTGTTCTCTCAGAACCGTCTTCAACCAACTCATCACTGTTTTGGGATGAACTATGAGATCCCATGCATGCAGCAATCTCAGAAACAGCATCAAGGCGAGCAGATATCAGATTTCTATTGCAAAGAGGATGAGTCACCTGTTGAAAGGAAAATGCCCACAAATCATGATAGGAGATCTATCTAATTAATTTCCCTACCACTTAGCAAAAAATCCATGAAGACTCTTGAGGGATAAGTTATAAATCTATGTCCCTACAAGAACTGAAAGATGCCAGTAAATTCTTTTTACTTTATTATAAGACGACAATGTGGCACAGCAGCAATGACTAATACCATCTTTAGAACTCCAAAAACTTGTAAGAAGACCAAACGTACAAAGTACTTATGCGAAAAATCTAAGAAGAAATGCAATGTGTCTTACCCAGTGTCTAAGAAGCCTGGAACCATATACTGTAAGAGTGTGATTCATATTATGGAATAAGGAGCCAGATTCCGATCCATCTGAATTATTTCTCACAACCTGAAAATAGATAAAAATTTCTTTTAACGAAAACTCAGTTAGGATACTTAGAAATGACTGAAGTTTTAATATTCACTGAACATGTGAGGCTAAATATAGCGGAAAGTACCTCCAACTGTTGCAGTGTATTGGCTGAGAGAGTCATCTCTGTGCTGCTTGACAGAGAGCGAAATGAAGCCCCCTGGTAAAGGATCCTTTCAAATCCAAACTGTTTGAGATGGCAAAATATCAGGGCAAGGGCTTGAACAGTCAGATGTGGCATGTTCATAATTGTCTGCACCATCAACAAATGAACAAATTAGCAGGAATCGCAGCAAGCATTTAATAAATGAAAAACTCTTCTTGAAAACTAGATGTGTTCATTAACAATCTCATGTTAACAGAGGATCATCAAAAAATTAAGAGAAAGCTTTTAGAAAATCAAATGCCATACGTGAACTGTCAAGCAAGACATTCCTTCTTCAGCAGCCTCCACCTTGATTTCTTTATCATCTTCTAGGTTGCTTGCATTGATTTTTTCACATAATGAAAGAACCTCATCTACTGCATTACCATTGCCGAAACGATCCAGTGAGGCACGTTCCACTCGAATGTTTGAGGTCGGTCCAGCATGTGCCAACAAAAACTGCCAAATAAAGATACCACAGGAACATCTATCGGTACGAATGCAAATCGACCAAGAACAGAAGTTCTACTCTTCTAAGCTAATCCATATAGTAATTATACATACAGACAAATATTCTTATGTCAAGCAGTTCATCGGGAAGGATTCAGCGATTATTATAGACAGAATCTGGTACATCTAACTGAGGAGCTAACTTGTTCAAAATTAATCAGCAGTTTTTGAATTAGTAACATTGACTCATACAAAGATAAATGTACCTTCTCAGTTTTCTGTGAAAGAGGCTGGCCAAGCAACAGCTCAGCTGGTGACAAGCTCAAAATCACAGCCTCTAACCCACTCCTCATGAAATTATCATTAAACTCTCCATAAACAACTTCACCGGTTGAAATTTCAACGCCAACAACACCGACTCTAACATCAAAACTCATTTCAATACCACAGCCTAATGTCTCCGTGTTGACTCTCTCATCCACAACACAAACCAAGAAATTACTCTGTGCACCAAAACCTTCTTCACCACCGCAACCACCACTTATATCCTCAGCCGCTTCAAGCGTGGATTTGGTATATAAGGCCGATAGTCCCCGGAAAAAAGGGCCGGTCCGGTTTGCACCGTGGGACTTAATGGCTGCAGTTTCGGTCTGCTTCACCACACCAATCTTGTACCCTGCATTCACCAGTCTTCTCACATGGAAATTCAATCGAAATGTTGGCACACTCGCCGTCATGAAACTGTGATCCATATGAGCGTATATACCCAACACGCGTGCTGCGATCTCCGCATCTTCTCCGAAGAATCTGTACCTATAACCAACTTCAACCATCAAAACCACATCTGGGTACTTGTTCTTTAGCTCCACCACCTGCTGTTCCAATGGCGTATACTTCCTCGATGTCGATGTTTCGGGAACAGATTCCTCCGGTGAGGGTTCCAGAAATCTCCGGAGAAACCTTTCGTGTAAATTGGGATCGGGTACTGGGTTTTGGGTGTTAGGAGAGAGTTTAGGCTTTTTAGGTGACGCGGCGGAGAGCTGTTCGGAGAGAAGCTTACGCTTAGACGGAGAGAAGGAGACAGTGGCGGATATCTTCGGTGGCGGTGTTGACGATTCGGGTACCGGATTCGGTTCCTGAGTTGGGGATTTGGGTTTGGGAGCGAAGAATCGAGAAATCACCTGCTGCTTTTGCTTGCCCATAATTGCTTTCTTCATATTCTCCTCCGCTTAAGAGAAATGGACGGTCGTGGTTATGGCGAACTTGGTTGCCAATTTACGCGCGCTTTCCTAGGTTGATGCTTGGTATAACAAAGTGATGACAGTAGCGGTTCGGGGCAGTTATTATTATGGGCCGGGCCTTAAAAATGGGCCTAAGTGTAAAATAATATAAATGAGTCTACGGCCGTGACTCTAGAAGTTGGTGGTAGAGACGGTGTGTGTCATTAATTCTCCGTCGAGATTACTTCTCTCCTCCGTTGCCGTCGGTCGCAGCCACTGAGTGATAGATCGAAACCGAGAGAGCGAGAGACATACGCACGGGGAAGAATTTTTGTCTGAGTGGATTCTGACGAGAGCGAGAGAGAGATGGCTATGTCTCAGGTGGTGAACACGTACCCGCTTTCGAACTACAGCTTCGGAACTAAGGAACCCAAGCTGGAAAAGGACACCTCCGTCGCCGACCGGCTCGCTCGTATGAAAATCAAGTACGAGATTCCTCTTTCCTTCTTTCTTTCCTTGTATTCTTCTCTGGAGAAGATGCCCAAGAATTGAAAACCCTAGAAATCTCCAGCTTTTACATTCTTTAGATCACGATCTCTTGTTTTGATAAATGATTTGAAAGTCTCTCTGTGCTTATCTGCTTTCTCGCTGCTGCTGAATTTACTAGCTTCTACGTAAATCAGCGAGTTAGCATGGGTTCCGTTGAAATCGTTGTTGTTTGCAATATTAGGATTTGTAGCTGATCAACTTAGATACGTCTTTTAGATGGTTAGCTGGTTTGATTTCGTTTACTCTCTGGGTTTTTGGCTCCTCAACGAATAATCTTTTGGCCATTTTACATAACTATAAGGTTTCAAAACCACAACTTGGTACATATATTGTTAGAACAACTTCTTGGAACGATCTGTTTTTGTGAACAAAGAGCAGCTATAGGCTATTTAAATTTCCAGTGATTGATTTGATAGGGGAACAGCTATAGCTACTGTACATGTTATACTATACTTTTGTTTTGTAAGTTAAGTCTCATGCTTTTTACTTGGATACATGAAGTCTGGAATTTGATAGCTCGCTCTTAAGACATTCTTGGAGTCTCATGGCTGAATGTATCTCTTTCTTGGTTTCTTAATGGTGTGTGTTGCAGCTATATGAAAGAGGGCATGAGGACCAGCGTTGAAGGGATTTTACTGGTATGATAATTTTCAATCTGCTCTACTTGTTATCCAACTCGTCTGTAGTTTTCTCTGTGTTGTTTAACTGTCCGCTGTCTTAAAATCGGTGGAACTGTTTTGTGGTTCATGACTTGTATGGCCATATTGTCATTTACATAATGCCTCTTAAGTGTCACTTTATTTGTACTATTATCTTAGCGTTCTCTGTATATATATGAGTTCTCTACCCAATGTATCATCTAAAACGTGGCAGAGATATAGAACTGTGTGATATTTTGATTGAAGTCATCTACTTCCTTTTCTAGTTGCCATCTCCAACTCAATTTTGTACTGATTGGGTAACCTTATATTACGAAGAAGCTCTAATCACATAAGTCGATTAATCTGCCCATATTGTCACAAGCTTTACGGATCCAATGAACTTAACCTGCACTTAATAAGAGTCATAAAAGTGAACTTCTAAGTAAGTCATGTTTTGAAGGGTTCCATTTAGCAGACATATTTGATGCATCTTGTTGTTTCGTTTCTTTCATTGTTTGTCTGCACCCTTGCCCTTCCAAGCTTTCATATTTTCCCATGGAGTATCATGTGCTTCACATTCATACCCTCATCCATTGACATCATGTTGGGAACATAAGATATTGTTTTGACATCCTTAAAGTCAATTTGATAAACCTATAACCCACAGCTACAGTTATCTCGTTGGTGCATAAGTTAAGCAAATAATTTGCGTTTTAAGTCTAGCAATTACTACCACCTAATTTGATTTGATTTTAATGATATCTCTCTAACCCTAAGATTCTTCTTGATACCTTATGCTGATTAACATATCAGGTGCAAGAACACAACCATCCTCATATACTTCTGCTGCAAATTGGTAACACATTCTGCAAACTTCCAGGCGGACGCCTGAAGCCTGGAGAAAATGGTATACAGTTACCATCCGTTAGTAATACTTTCTATACTGTTATGAGTTTCTTGGCTGCTTAAGTTTTGGGTGTACTATGTTGTATCTGCAGAAGTTGATGGTCTGAAAAGAAAGTTGACCAGTAAGCTTGGAGGCAATTCGGCTGCTCTTGTACCTGACTGGAAGGTACTATCCTGGTTTCTTCTCTATTTCGATGAGTGATAGTGGCCAGATATTTATTTAGGTGTATATAGATGCCTTAAAAAAACTAGGTCGGTCTGGCATGTGCTTGCTCTCGAGAAGCAATTCAAATTATTTTGGTTATTACACTTAAGCATGCCAGGAAGGAGGGGTTCATACAAGAAAACAAGGATAGGGCTGATGTCTTTGCTAGAGAATCATATACGTACTACATAAAGAAAGAAGACTCTGCCATGAGTCCACAGATGTTTGATTGAGTTATGTATATAGCTCTGTCCCTGATCACTTGGTTTCTTTATGTCCCTTTAACAGGTAGGAGAATGTGTTGCGACATGGTGGCGTCCAAACTTTGAAACCATGATGTACCCGTATTGCCCTCCTCACATCACGAAACCAAAGGTAGTAAGAAAACAACACAATGTGTAGCTTCTCAACATTCCTCTTTTACTCTTCTCCTTATTATATCTCCTTTTTGTGGAATGGCAGGAATGCAAGAGACTCTTCATTGTTCACTTGTCTGAGAAAGAGTACTTTGCTGTGCCCAAAAACTTGAAACTCTTGGCCGTCCCTTTGTTCGAACTCTATGACAATGTTCAGGTTTTGCTTATACCCAGATAGTATTAACCTTTGGAAATTTGGTTTACAGCAATCTTCTAACCGTATGTTCTTATAATGGAACAGAGATATGGACCGGTTATATCGACCATACCTCAACAGCTATCCAGATTCCATTTCAACATGATTAGTTCGTGATTCTACTCGGTGTGTTCAAGAACAAGAAGCCTGTCAGGATGGCAAGTTATTTAGGTACGGTAGAGAGCTGTAGCTACCGGTTTAGAGATGAGATTTTCCGATGATGCGTCTTGGTTTTTTCTTTTTGACATTATAGACTTGTTGGCTTTTATGTAGAACCGGTTCAGTTTCAGCACAAAAAAAAAAGATTGTTGTATCTCATTTCTAAAAGCATTCGTCATTGTTTGACCAGCGCCTGTCTAGTCTAACCGTAATTTTCCTTCAATGTTGGATGAATTTTTATTTTGGTGCTATGTATGAAACACAAAACTAAGCCATCTTCAAACTACTTTGGTTGGTCTCCAAATAGAAAAATATCTAAAAAGACAAATATATCATTATTTTTTATACCACAAGGCCTAATGGTCGAAGTCGAAGGAAGATAAGATTTGTACATAAACAAACAAGTAACTATTCCAAATTTATAATTAAGACCGATCACAATAATATTCTCCGATGGCTAAACATTAAGTCATCATAACATTAGATGTAATAAAGACTTTATTAAATCCGTGATCCATTGGGGATTAGTTTGACGGCAAAATTTATTATGGTATCAAGACGACCAAGACAAGGTAGACATTTCTTTTTTGTTTCCCTCTCAATTTCTTTACTCCATCATTTTCCACAGGCCAAAAGAGCCAACAAGAAAAAAACAAAACCAGAGTACTTTTAAAATTGCGACAGGCCATTTCGATCGGGACAGAAGGAATTCAATTTTTAAAAGTTCACAATATTCCTCAAACAACTCTTTATTTGGTCCACTTGTCGGTGTGAATGTGTAAATGTAATACCTTTTGTTCTGTTATCAAGAAAACAACATCGGGGAAGAAAAAAAGTACTAGCAGCAAATAGGAGCTCAATGTTGACTTCAGTACAAAATATTCGTAAAATTTGTCTGCTTGCTATTGATGCTTTACGAAAAGATTAACAGATTGGATGATTCTCTGTAATCATTACTTCATTATTCACAATCATTGAATTGAATCAGACAGATTATTCCACCCGGATTTTAAGTTTCTAACCAAAAAACTCATTGACGCGATTTAAACTAAACTAAAGAAGTCGGTCATATAAAATTCTTGCCGACATTTGAGAGATTTTTAGATATGAAGATGTTATCTGCTTAATATCGTAAATTCTTAAGACCTCGTCCATTATAAATGTTTCAAACATAACAAACGGAAGAATAAAAAAGGGAAATTGAGAGAACAAAAACAAGCAAAGATCTTATTCTTTTTGTTTTCATGTAGGAATCTTAAATCTGATATGTACTGAACATTGCTAGTTTATTTTTATTTTTATATTTTTTTATTTTGAAAACTGGAACCTTATATTGTAATTTATATCCAATTTAATTTCATCAAAGCAGACTTTTGCTACACCTAATTAATCCTTCCACTATGACTTTTCTCCTCACTGCTTATACAAATGCATACAATATACACATAAAAAACTCACACCTAAAATATCACAAATTTTCATTAAAAATAGAATATATGTGTCATTTGTCTTTTTACTCTAAGCAGGCCCATTTGGTCATTTCTTAACACTAAGTATGTAGGCTCTATCTGTGTGAGATTGGTGATATATGTTGTCTCAATCATCATAGTACTGAGACATGTTTTCTTGTATCAGGACAGCTTTAAGACGATAGAGAAATGGCAAAGACGAAATCTGGAGAGAGACAGAGGAAAGGGTTATGGTCACCTGAAGAAGATGAGAAGCTAAGAAGCTTCATACTCGCTCATGGCCATTCTTGCTGGACCACTGTTCCCATCAAAGCTGGTCTCTCTTTTTATCTTCTTCTTTGTTAGTAGTTCTTCTTCTGTCAAATTAATCCTTAATTTAGTCAACTTTGATTTATAACCAAAAACTTTAATAGGGTTACAAAGGAATGGAAAGAGCTGCAGATTAAGATGGATTAATTACCTAAGACCAGGGCTAAAGAGGGATATGATTAGTGCAGAAGAAGAAGAGACCATCTTGACGTTTCATTCTTCCTTGGGTAACAAGTAAGTGTAACTCTAAGACTTAACCCTATTGTTTTAGTAAATGCTATTTATAGAGAGATTAATGATTTAGGTGTATTTAGGTGGTCGCAAATCGCGAAACTTTTACCGGGAAGAACAGACAATGAGATAAAGAACTATTGGCACTCTCATTTGAAAAAGAGATGGCTCAAGTCTCAGAGTTTACAACACCCAAAATCTATTTCCTCTTCTTCTTCATCATCATCACATGTTGCTTGTGGAAAAAGAAATCCGGAAACCTTGATCTCGGATCAGGTTATCTCCTTCCAGAGACTTCTAGAGGACAAATCTTCATCTCCATCACAAGAAAGCAACGGAAATAACAGTTATCAATGTCCTTCTGTTCCTGAGATTCCAAGGCTTTTCTTCTCTGAATGGCTTTCTTCTTCAGTCGATTATTCCTCTGATTTTACAGACTCTAAGCACAACCAAGCTCCAAATGTCGAAGAAACTGTCTCAGCTTACGAAGAAATGAATGATGTTGATCAGTTCCATTACAACGAAATGATGATCAACAACAGCAACTGGACTCTTAATGACGTCGTGTTTGGTTCCAAGTGTAAGAAGCAGGAGCATCATATTTGATAAAGAGACCTCAGATTGTTATTCTTCTGCTGAATTCTTTTCTCCATCAACAGCGACGTAAATTGCGTCTAATGTAATGTAAATCAAATTTATAAGGCAAAAACGAAAATAAAAAATGTTTTTTTTGTTTGGTCTCAATGCTTTGACACCAATACATCTTAAGAGACAGTGCTTGTGAAAGTTAATGAACATACTCATTCCAAGTTGTGAGGGCTAACAACACAAATCTGATAAATTAGATGATGAGAGGTTTTTCCAGGGAATTGCAATATGAAATATAAATAAAAGAAAATGATTTAAAAGATTCATCAATAGTATAGAAGATTTTACACACCAGAAGTAGCAAAGTCGTAAAACACAAAGCTTTTCGCTACAAATGCATCACATATAAATGGAGTTTTGACAGTACAAGGGGCAATACAGATGTGAGTGGAATGTAGAAAGTGTCTTATATAGCAGAATAGCTGTAGTCAACAGTATCATCGTTGGAGGAGGAAGGGGAAGGAGACTTAGCAGAAGCAGTGAGTACCACAAAGGTACCAAAGAGAATAGTGATAATGGCTGTGAAGTTGATAAGAAATGCTTCGGATCCATACTTGTCAAGCCCTCCATTCTCCAAGAAAGTCAGCTTTTCCAGAAACCCTAAAGCTGCATTCCCAACAGCAAGTATGTAAACAAATAGGCCGAGCATTGCGTGCCACGGAAGCAATCCGCTTCTCAGATTTGATGATCCTCCTGGGAAGAAGAACACTATGAAGCTGTACACCCACTGCAAAATTCAAAAATTTTGTTCTGGTCAGGAACAATGTACAACAATAGGTAAAAACATTTTCCCAAAGAAATTGTTAGCCATTTTCTATGAAGCAATATTTGTGTGTTTTGTGCTGTTTGTAATTGTTCTGTAAGTAGACTTTTAGAGATATGTCATGCTCAGTTTGATACAGAGAACTCAGAAACAATTTTAAGGGTGATTTGGTGGCTGAACCAAATGCTTATCAAAAGGATTCCTATGTAAACTGATTACATGTTTAATGGGAAAAATGTTTGTGTCTAAGGAGCAAAAGGCCATGGATTTTACCTGGAAGCCATAAAGAGAAATGACTCCAATACCAATCCAGGAATGGAGACTGTAGAGATTAGGGATTTTGCTTTCATTGTGGTTCTTGAAGGCTGCACAGATGCCAAAGATCCCAAGAGCCAGAGCAATGGCATGGAGTATAAGGTGGATCAACTTCTTCACTGGTTTCTCCAGCGGAAGCGATTTGTAACTTATAATAGCTGCATTTCCAATTTCAACAAACAGGTGTATACAAACTGATCAACATCAACGGTACTAATCAAAATTGAAATGAAAGTAATATCTTATTTCTCTCGTTGTTAAACAGATGTTATCTATTACCTTCTCCTCCCAAGATTATAAATCCGATGAGCATCAGAACAGGATGCAGCTGGATCACATAAAAAAAAAAATGGATCAAAACACAAACACAGACGGATTAAAAACAACTGAAGAGAAGTCCCCTTTGCTTTGGTGACAAAGATCATGTCGATTTTTGAATGTTAGTATATGTTCCTCCCAACAAAAGAAATTTAGTTTTGAGTACCATCAGCTAAACCTAAACCAGAAGATCAAACATCATCTTCACTCACACTGTAATAATTACAGACTATGACCCTAACAACACTCATGGATCCTAAGGCACCTCCATAGCAAAAACTTGGCCACTTGGGACACACTATTGCTTCCAAATTAGAGTTATCTGACTACTCATCATCAAAGACCCATTTACAAGCTAAAACAGATATCAAGATAACAAAAGATTTCTCCTTTACATAAAGCCACTCACTCAACAGTACTGAGGAACCAATAAGAAGCTTTGCACTCAGATACAAAACAGATTCTATAACAAAACTTCCTCAATTTGGATATGTAAAACTAATTACCCACCAATCAGACAGATGGCCAAGACATACAAAAAGTCAACGCAGACGCGAGAGAGAGAAAATAGAAA